GTGAAGGGTACATATAATATGCTGTAGTACTTTATAGTTTTTTTTTCATGTATGAGATTATTTCAAATTAAAATATTAAAAAATTAAAAACAAAATACTAATTGAAATGTATCTGCATTACATGAAAAATCTCCTAATTGCTTCTAGCATAATTTATTAAATTGTGCTAAAATTTACAAGGGTTCAATTAAAAATATCTTAATTCTAAATGATATAATAGAAAATATATACTAGTGCAGTTATAAGCACTTATCTGAAAATAAAAATTTAAAGAAGTGAATTTCAAGAAGGGATTAGCCAAAGAAAATATATGCACAACCCATGGACACAGACAACAGTATGGTGATGGCCAGAGAGAAATGGGTGGCAAGAACTGGGTAGAGGGGGCAAAAGGGGGGAAATAGGGACATCCTATATAATAATAAAAGGCTAATATGCAAATTGATTGAACGGCAGAATGACTGGTTGCTATGATGCGCACTGGCCACCAGGGGGCAGGCGCTCAATGCAGGAGCTGCCCCCTGGTGGTCAGTGCACTTCAATATGGGGAGTGCCACTCAGCCAGAAGCTGGCTCATGGCTGGCCAGCACAGAGGTGGTGGCAGGAGCCTCTCCTACCTCTGTGGCAGCACTAAGAAAGCCCAACTAATGGTTTAGACCCGATCCCTTGGGGGCCTAAGCGTTTAGTTGGAAATCCCCCAAGGGCTCCCTGGCTGCCAGAAGGATGTCTGACTGTAAGCTTAGGCCTGATCCCCCGGGGAGTGGGCCTAAGTTGACAGGTGGACATCCCCCAAGGGGTCCTGGACTGCAAATGGGCGCAGGCCGGACTGAGGGACCCCCCCCCCCCCCGAGTGCACAAATTTTTGTGCACCAGGCTTCTAGTTTCTAATAAACCTCAATTAGATCACAACTGGAATTTCTTCCTTTTTTTTTTTTTTTTTTACTATTTGCTTTTTAAAATTTTTTTTATTGATTTCAGAAAGGGAGAGGGAGAGATAGAAACACCAATGAGAGATAATCATTGACCAGCTGCCTCCTGCACGCCCCCCACTGGGGACCGAGCCTGCAACACAGGCATGTGCCCTTGACTGGAATCAACCTAGGGCCCTTCAATCTGCAGGCCAATGTTCTCTCCACTGAGTCAAACCAGCTAGGGCACAACTAGTATTAAAAAATATTTTCAAGTGCTCAAGAATACCCAAGTTTAGGGGGCAAAATACAAATCTTTCCTCCCTCTGATATTCCTTAATTAGGATAAAAGTCTCAGGGTAAGCCCACAGGAATGGTCTGCAATGAAGAAAAATTAGGTCAAGCTATAACTTCTGCAAACTTTATCTCGAAAGCCAAAAACATTCTGAGACAAATAAGAGCATTCTCTGGGGTCAGGGCTTTTTGTTTAGTTCTTTAATCTCTAAGTACTCAACATGTTACAGCTCAGAAATGCCCATACACTTACTAACAGTAAAGAGAGTGTAAAAAAAAAATTTCCCAAACATGATTCTTTCAATCACAGGTCTCTCTTTGGTAAGAAATAGACTCCCATTTACTTCCTTTCTCTCACTTGTAAAATAGAGGGAGATTATGATACTAGAGGCCCAATGCATGAAATTTGTACAAGAGTAGGCCTTCCTTCCCCCAGCTGCTGGCACCGGCTTCCCTCTGGAACCCAGGACCCAGGCTTTCCTCCGGCTGCCGGCAGGCACCCAGGACCCGGGCTTCCCTCGCAGTCCCGGCTTCGACCAGGAGAAAGACTGGTCTATTTAGCATATTACACTTTTATTATTATAGACTAGAGGCCCGGTGCATGAAATTCATGCACAGGGGTGGGGGTGGAGGGATGGGAGGGGATGTCCCACAGCCCAGCCTGCACCCTCTCCAATCTGGGACCACTCAAGGGATGTCTGACTGCCGGTTTAGGGGGATCAGGCCTAAACGGGCAGTTGGACATCCCTCTCACAATTCAGGACTGCTGGCTCTCAACCGCTTGCCTGCCTGCCTGCATACCCCTAACCGCTTCTGCCTGCCAGCCTGATCATCCTCTAACCCAGCCGTGGGCAAACTATGGCCCGTTTGAAATGAATAAAACTAAAATAAAAAAAAGACCATACCCTTTTATGTAATGATGTTTACTCTGAATTTATATTAGTTCACACAAACACGCCATCCATGCTTTTGTTCCAGCCCTCCGGTCCAGTTTAAGAACCCATTGTGGCCCTCGAGTCAAAAAGTTTGCCCAACCCTGCTCTAACCACTCCCCTGCCAGCCTGATCGACACCTGTTACCCTGCCGGCCCGATTACCCCCAACTGCCCTCCCCTGCGGGCCTGGTCACTCCCAACTTCCCTACCCTGCTGGCCTAGTCGCCCTTAACTGCCCTCCTTTGCCAGCCTGGTCAGCCCCACTGCCCTCTCCTGCTGGCCCGGTCACCCCTAACTTTCCTCCCCTGCTGGCCCGATTGCCCATAACTGCCCTCCCCTGCTGGCTCAGTCACCCCTAACTTTCCTCCTCTGCCGGCCTGGTCACCCCTAACTGCCCTCCCCTGCAGGCCTGATCGCCCACAACTGCCCTCCCTTTCAGGCCTGGTCCCTCCCAACTGCCCTCCCCTGCTGGTCTGATCGCCCACAGTTGCCCTCCCCTGCTGGCCATCTTGTGTGTTGGAGTGATGGTCAATTTGCATATTACCTCTTTATTAGATAGGACCAACCTGGTATAGAATACCTGTGTATAAATAGGTTAGAGGGTAAAGGGTTTACACCACGCCCTTTATAAGAAGAGCAGACAACTATGGCAGAAAATAGTAACTGTCTATCACAGAGCCAGCAAAACAGGGCATTTCCTGTAACTAGAAGGCCTTGCCTACTAACATTTTAGTCAACCTGTAAAAATTTTGCTAACCAATTTAGCATTATGCAATATGCTATTATAAAAATATGGTAGACTATCTCCCCGCTAATATTCACCAATTTCTGGATCCCTTTAAACTTTCATAGAAATCCATGGGGAATTAAACAGGCTTACTTTAGATATTTTCTCAGTAAGTAAAATTTATCTAACAATAGTATTGCAATTCCAGAAAAAAAAAATCCCATACAATCTAATACATACATTAACAAACTTCAGAGAATACATATTCTATCAAGACCAAGCAATCCCCACCCATGCATCCAAAAGGAAGCCAGTCTTACCCACTGTGACATAAACTAGGTTCACTGTATCTGGTTCCACATTAAAAGAACTGCTAAATCCCATTGCAGTAGAAAAAAATACTACAAATAAGCACCCACAACCGACCTAACAATTTCTACTCACTCCTACTTCTCTCAGATATGTTTTAAGATAGAAGTAAGCATTCCTTGCAATTTGACTGGCAAAATCGTTACCTGACTTCAGTTATTTCTAAGCCTATAATAGATACCAGAGAATGATGGAATGCCCAAATCAGCAGAAACTCAACATTATAATTTTTGCAAAAAAAAGATAATTTTTTAAATGGCTGTATTTGTAGTTTTTAAAAACCAGTACCAAATGTTCATGTTTATTTTGAGCAACACTTAGAAATTAAAAAATATGAACAAACAAAAAAATGAACAATAAAAGAATAACTTCCAAGCAATACTGCATGTTGATAAGAACCACTAAGTAAAATAATATGATTGGCTCACTTCTAAAGCTATTGTAGGTTTGACCAGTTTGGAAATAGCATGCCTCACTGCTCAGCTAATATACCTAACTCCCTCCAAAATGGGTACAACTTATTTTATTTTGTGACTAGGCAAGATTAAGTAAAACAATTGAAAATATATTTTTAAAAAGCATAGTAACTCAAAACAACTTATTTGGGATCATTTTCTACTCTCTTTTAAGGGGGAAAACCCCCCATGAAATCACGGTGCCTAAATGTGAAATGGAGACAGATTCAAAAAGAGCAGTGTCGGTTCCATTTACAAAGCCCTTTATCACATTACATTTATAGCAATACTGTGATCAACATCATACAAGGTTTCTTATTTCTTCCTTAGACAGCAGCAATGTTTCTCCCACTGCATAACAGATTTCAACTCTGCAAATGGTTTAAATCAACTTTCTGCACCCTGAATTTACAAACTATTGGATGTTAAGTTTCCTTAAAACTATCTTATTTTTAAACTTTACTTAAAGCTAAAACTAAATCTTTAAAAACACACACACACACACAAAAACAAAGGTACTTTCAACAGAAGCTTGTAGAAATTTACTAACACTAGGGTTTTGAAGATAGCCTACGGAGGGCTATAAAGGGGCAAGTATCGCCCTGGCAGGTTTGACACAGGGGATAGAGTGTTGGCCTGCAGACTGAAGGGTCATGGGTTCGATTCGGGTCAAGGGCAAGTACCTCAGTTATCAGCTCTGCAGGCTGGATCCCTGGCCCAGTTGGGGCATGTGCAGGAGGCAACTAATTGATGTGTCTCTTCCATAGTGATGTTTCTCTCCCTCCCTCGCACTTTCCTTAAAAATCAATGGAAAAATATCCTCAGTGAGGATTAAAAAAAATAAAAAATGAAGGGGCAACTATCAAACAACTAATTCTATGGGCAATTCTTATTAGAAAAATGCTTTCAAAATAAAATTCTTTCATGACGGATGAAATAAAAAGATGGAGATTTAATTTTTCCCTCATAATAAGTAGTTGCTCAGGACATAGGTTGAGTGTACTGAAATCATATTGCTTCTTTGAAAAAGTAAATTTACTGTAGCCACATTCACCTTATCTTTTGACCTCTGGGTACTAGTATTACCCAAGAGAACCTTATCAAAGAAATTGGCTTGCAAACCTACCAAATAGGAGTCTCGGGTTCCCTAATTTTTATGGTCATCTTAGTAAATATAAAACTTTAGCTGCGTGAACAATGGAGCTAGGTATAGTGTGTTAGGTATACAAATACAACAGAAGTGCTAAACTCACTTAGTAGGACAAGGACTTTAAGGGACTTGATGTTACCAATAGGGCAAAAAAACAACATCATGGTTTTTTGTTCAGATTTTATTTGAAATCTAATTCAAATTGCCAAAGCTACAAAATGGGGGAAGACATCTGTATTAGTTTTGCTAAGTCACAGCATTCTAAAACAAAATACTACTACTGCCAGCAGATCCATTATACACATTTCTGATGAAATTCATTACCACAATAATTTCATCTTGAAAACAGCCACAAAAAAAGTAATTTACACAATATAAAACAATGACAGGTCTACAGATGCAGTTACACATGCTTCACAAATAAACAAACAAAAATCCCAGGAATGCTCTTTCATTTGATTTTTTTTTAAAACAGACCATTCAGGCACAAAACAAAATTGCATTTCCAATAAGTGACAGCATCTTAAAAACGTATGTCAATGTTTGTTTTTCTTTGACTTTTTATGAGACCTGTGTGGAGATCGGGACTGGGATCTGGATTTCTTCCCTGATTTTTTAGGGGATCTAGACCGTGATCGCCTAGACCTTTTAGGTGTTCTTGAACCAGATGGTGATCTGAGGAAACAAACAAAAACAATTTATCACAGTACTCTGTGATCAAAATTGACTTCTTAAATTATCTAAAATGAGCTTTAACTGAACACAACAAAAGTCACTGAAATACATAAGGTTGCAAATTTCCCAGGTCTACACTCTGCCTACGCGCACACACACAGATTTTGTACTTCATGTGCATTGCATCAGTCATCAATAGTGCACTTGCTGCCCTAACCGGTTTGGCTCAGTGGATAGAGTGTTGGCCTGTGGACTAAAGGGTCCCAGGTTCGATTCTGGTCAAGGGCATGTACCTTGGTTGCGGGCATATACCCAGTAGGAGGTGTGCAGGAGGCAGCTTATCTATGTTTCTAACTCTATCCCTCTCGCTTTCTCTCTGTAAAAAATTAATTAAAAAATAAAATTGTATATATATACACACATATAAATAAATAAATAAATAAATAAATAAATAAATAAATAAATAGTGCACTTGCTTAAAAAGCCAGGATCCTAAGACTTACCACACCACTCTACTGAATCAAAATCTCAAGGCAGAACTGGGGGTTTGCAGTTTTAATAAGTTCCCCAAGTTAGTGATATACCTCCAAGTCTGAACCTCTAAATCTACAAGATAAAGTTCAAAATGGCATCTAATTACTAGCATTCACAACATTTTAAACAGAAGACAGCTTTGTAGCCTATCTCCTTGAGGGAAAAGGATCCAACTATTGCAGTATCATTCAAGGGAACTATGTGAAACAGCACAATTTTGTAAATACTGTTCATGAAGATTACCAAAACAAATAATGTATTGATGTGTATGTGTGTGCGCATACATACCAGTAACTTATCTATTTTATAAAGATTTTACTAAAAATGGTTACAATAATAAAGTTTTAGAGGATAAGTTTTAGCTCCTAGGAAAATAACACCAGATAATAAAACATTTCTGAAACACTTTTCTGGAACTACAAGAATAAAAGTATACACTAAATTATACACTGAAGAAATGGTGTTTATTTTCACAAGTCTCTACCCAAAAACTCACTATTAAGATTGCAGGAGAAATATGGAGGCAAGGAGGATGTATTTTTTTTTCAGCCTTGACAAAAATCAAAAAATGTTCTATAGAAACTAAAGAACAGAATGAAAAGTAAAGCAGCTATCCCTATCCCATAGGAAACACTGGATGTGATGTTAAAGTTCTTGGCTGGCTTTACTTGTTGGAAGCCTTATTGTGCTTTAGTCATGAGACTGGTGTTAGGAGATGGGAAGGCATAATCTAAAATGAAAGTATCTTTTTGGTTTTCTAAAATCCTGTAAAACAAGCATGTCAAACTCGTGGCCCACAACAAATATTTTTGCGGCCCAGCCAATAACAGTATATAAGAAATGTTTTAGCCCTAACCGGTTTGGCTCAGTGGATAGAGCGTCAGTCTGCGGACTCAAGGGTCGCAGATTCGATTCCGGTCAAGGGCATGTGCCTTGGTTGCAGGCACATACCCAGTAGGGAGTGTGCAGGAGGCAGCTGATCGATGTTTCTCTCTCATCGATGTTTCTAGCTTTCTATCCCTCTCCCTTCCTCTCTGTAAAAAATCAATAAAATATATTTTAAAAAAAATGTTTTAATAAAAATGTTGCAGCTTAATTTTTACAATATCCTATTATACATAATTAATAACAAACTACAACATTTGCTAATGACTGATTACTATAATCGTGTTGCATTCATTTCCTTGACACACAGGTGCACCATCTCTCTCCACTAATACTAGCAGCGAATATTTTAGCAACCAATTGCCACATCATTGTCTTGGACTTGTTTGGTGTGTGCAATAGGAAATATTTTGCTTTCAGAGAACAAGAAAAATAGGTTTATTTGCATTACACTTATTAATTTGTGCAGTTATTCAGTATCTGGTAAGTTAATGTACAAGAAAAAAACATTAATTTTTATTAAAATGTTCTATTATTTTATGTTAATGATTACTCATTTATTTCAGCCCTTAGTATTCAGCAAGTCTCTATTGAAATAAACCTACGCTTCAATGAAAATTGAAGCTTTCATTTTTTTGCGGCCCACATAAACTTAAACCTTGTTTATTTGGCCTGTGATAGCCTTTCAGTTTGACATGCTTGCTGTAAAACATAGCTACCAACCAAATCATTATCAAAAACTGGTAGAATGACAAGGAAATTAGTATCTCAAATATTGCAAAAAATGATTTGCATTTACCTTTTGGCCTTTTTGCTAGCATCTCGAGGAGAATCTTTGTGAGATGACCTGGACCGTGAACTCTCTTTATGAGATCTTTCTGAACGCTCTGATCGCTCCGACTTTGGTGATGGGGACTTCACTCGTCTACCACTGCTACTGCGAGATGGGCTAGGGGACATACTGTGTCGCCTTTTCCTATGGAACAAAGCCCCAAAAACATTCCATAAGTGAGCAAAGGAACAAGCATTCAAGTTCCTGCTACTAAATTAGCTATTAATTCCTACCAGTACTTGTACCAACTTTATTTCACTAACCTTACTGATGTTACTTTCCAAAAACATTCAAAGCCTTTTATACCAAGATCCAATGAAGTCTTAAAAGAGATTGATCAAGCCAAAAACTGAAATCAAGGATACTGGAATTTCTTTTGCTATAAGAGATTACTGAGACAATGGACAAAATTTCATTAAGGTCTCTAATCAGGTAAGTTTTTAAATGTTAATTTCACAATCTTGAAACTTTTATTGTGGTTTATATAAGACTAGAGGCCCGCCCTAACCGGTTTGGCTCAGTGGATAGAGCACTGGCCTGCAGACTAACGGGTCCCAGGTTTGATTCCGGTCAAGGGCATGTACCTTGGTTGCCGGCACATCCCCAGTAGGAGGTGTGCAGGAGGCAGCTGATGGATGTTTCTCTCTCATCGATGTTTTTAACTCTCTATCCCTCTCCCTTCCTCTCTGTAAAAAAATCAATAAAATATATTTAAAAAAAAAAAAAAAAAGACTAGAGGCCCGGTGCATAGATTTGTGCACCGGTGGGTGTCTCTTGGCCTGGCCTGCGCCCTCTCACAATCTGGGACCCCGTGGGGGATGTCAGACTGCCAGTTTCGGCCCAATCCTTGCAGGCCAGGCCGAGGGACCCCACCAGTGCATGAAATCCATGCATCGGGCTTCTAGTATAAATATAGGATCTTTGGTTAATCTCTTCCTACCCCTCCCCATCTCCCCTTCCCTCTGAGATTCATCAGTCTGTTCCATGTTTCCATGCCTGTGCATTGAGCATCTGCCCCCTTGTGGTCAGTGCACATCACAGCTACTGGTTGAATGGTCGCCTAGACTTTTATACATAACTAGAGGCCCAGTGCACAAAATCTGTGCACTCGGGGGGCGGGGGGGTGTCCCTCAGCCCGGCCTGTGCCCTCTCACAGTCTGGGACCCCTCAGGAGGTAACAACCTGCTGGCTTAGGCCTGCTCCTGGGTGGCAGAGGGCAGGCCAAATCCCTAGGTGCAGCCCCTGGTCTGGTTCAGAGCAGGGCCGAATGGGGGGTTGGGGCGCCGCTCCCTGTCATGCACAGAGCAGGGCAGATTGGGAGGTTACGATGCCACCCTCAGTCACACTCAGGGCAGGGCCGACTGGGGGGTTGGGGAACCGCCTCCTGTCACACTGAAGACAGGGTCGATGGGGAGGTTGCGGCGCCACCCCCTGTCACGCACAGAGCAGGGCCAATCAGGGAGTTGGGGTGCTGCACCCTCTCATGCACAGAGCAGGGCCCATCAGGGGGTTGAGGAGCTCCCCCATGTCACTCACAGAGTAGGGCCGATAGGGGAGCTGGGGCACCGCCCCCTGTCACACACAGAGCAGGGCAGATCAGGGGGTTGGAGCACCGCCCTCTATCACCCACAGAGCAGGGCCGATCAGGGGGTTGGGGCGCCGCCACTGTCACACTCAGGGCAGGGCCGATGGGGAGGCTATGGCTCTACCCCATTACACATAGAGGAGGGCCCGTGGAGGGGGGGTTGGGGCGCCGCCCTCTATCACCCACAGAGCAGGGCCGATCAGGGGGTTGGGGCACCGCCACTCTCACACTCAGGGCAGGGCTGATGGGGAAGTTATGGCTCTACCCTGTCACACACAGAGCAGGGCCCGTGGGGGGCAGGGGGGTTGGGGCGCCACACCCTGTCACACACAGAGCCGCAGGGCGATCAGGGGGTTGGGGAGCTCCCCCTATCAGGTACAGAGCAGGGCTGATCAGGGTGTTGGGGCGCCTTCCCCTGTCACGAATAGAGCAGGGCGGATAGGGAGGTTGCGGCCCCACCCCCTGTCACACACAGAGCCGCAGGGCGATCAGGGGGTTTGGGCGCTGCCCTCTATCACACTGATCCCGATGCTGGGAGGCCTCTTGGCTCCGCTGATCCTGGTGCTGGGAGGCATATTACCCTTTTACTATATAGGATAGAGGCCTGGTGCATGGGTGGGGGCCGGCTGGTTTGCCCTGAAGGGTGTCCTGGATCAGGGTGGGGGTCCCCACTGGGGTGCCTGGCCAGTCTGGGTGAGGGGCTGAGGGCTGTTTTCAGGCTGCTCCCAACTGCTCCTTTTTTTCTTTTTTTTTTTTTTATTCTGGGCCAGCTTTAGCTCTGGCTCCAGCTCTGAGGCCTCTGCTGCTGAAAGCAGGTATCTGGTTTGTTTGGGTTCTAAAATCGAAACACTGTTTCAACTCCAGCTCTGAGATCCCGGTGGGCTGAAAGCAGGTTTCTGGGGTTTTGTTTAGCTTCTATATTTGTAACAATGTTTCAAACTGCAAGCTCAGAGGCCGGCAAGGCAGGCGGGGAACATTGCAGTCCTCCGTCACTGAAGCAAGCAAGCCTCATGTCAGCTTTAAGCTGCCTGGCTGCCGGCCGCCATCTTGGCTGGCAGTTAATTTGCATATCGCCCTGATTAGCCAATGGGAAGGGTAGTGGATGTACACTAATTACCATGTTTCTCTTTTATTAGATAGGAGGACTAGACGCCCAGTGTATGAATTCGTGCACGGGTGGGATCCAATGAAGGTTGACCGGCTGGCCCCTCCTGATCGGGGTGGGGGGCGATCAGGGGCAGGGTTGACTGGCCCCGCCCCCCGGTCAAACTTCCAGTTGAGGGGACAATTTGCATATTAGCCTTTTATTATATAGGAAGGATGGGGCACCAAGTTATTCTTAAATTGTTGGGGAAGGGGAAAGGAGAAGAAAATAAGGCAAAAGTAGAAAGACATCTGGAAATTCTTTATACTATTCTTGCAACTTTTCTGTAAATCTAAAATTATATCAAAATAATAAAAAAGAAAAAATAGATTTACTATTTAACTAATAACTATGCTATTTGTAACTATTTGTAGAGTAACTAAGCCAGAATTTTTAAATTTGAATTCACTTGGTTTTCATTAGGAAAAAATTAACTGTTAATTGAAGCAATTTTCTCTACTAAATCAGATTTGGGGATTATTAACATAGAAAATAAAAATTAAAAGAGAAGCGATGTTTATTAGAATGAAGATAAAGTAAATAGCAAGTCCTTACAGTCCATGTGCACAGTCTCCTTTCCAGGTAAGACTGGAAGACTCAAGTTTATAAGTGGCAGACTCAGCACAGAATGCTTATATTGGAGACAAGAAAGATCTAGCAAACTGTTTAGTTATTTAAGCCTAAGCTTGATACCTAGTATGATAACTAAATTCTTAGCACTGAACTAAGTTTAAGGTACCTTGTGAACCATGTGAAAGGATATAATGGGATGATGGCTTAATTAACAAAAGCAAGTGCTAATTAATGGTCCCATTTCTCAGTTAGTTCGCCTCCTGTAGGCAAGAGCCAAACATATTTATCATGAAAAAATACTTTTCTAGTTTGTTGGAACCGGTGTTGAAAATATTGTAACATGGAACATCATTCTAAATCCTAAAACCAGTATAGGTATTAAATTAGAAATGTTATACCTTTCTTTCCTTGTTGGAGTACACTCATCTTTTTCCTTCTTGTCTTTGGATCGAGATTCCAATTTTTCTTTATCCTTCTTATCTCTTTCTCGTTCTCTTTCTAATTCTTTCTCTTTCTCCTGTGTATTTAATTTTTAAAGAAAGAATATTTTGTTATGAAAATATATCAATCTGGGTTAATCTCATTTATATAATAATATGTTCTCTTCTATTTAACTAATTTTCAAATCACTAATAACATTTAAAAAAAAAAATACCTCCTCTTCCAGAAAAGCTAGCCATTTCTTCTACTCACCCTGAATAACAACAGTAATACCAGTGAGAGCAGCTAAGTATTTACTGTGTGCTTACCATAGGCCAGGTAATTAGTAAACAACCCTCACACACCATTTCATGTATTTCTTCCAAACACCCAAAGCAGTGCTTTTATCCCAGTTCTAGAGATGAAAGCTGAGACACAGAAAGGTTAAGTTCCATGCCCCTGGTCACACAGAATAAAGTCAGGATTTGAGCCCAAGCTCTGAAGCTAAGGTTCGTAACTACCACCTGCAGAATGCTGTCCCCTACAAGCTAACAATGCACTGACCCTGACATCTCTCAGATGACAATAAAATAGCAGTGACACTAACTGCACAGCAAGTTATTTAATCAAAAGAGAGCCTTACCAAAGCAATAGGCTGAAAAGGAGAAATAGCTATTCACAAAAACTGTCCATCAGAAAATCTTACTGGTGAGAGACAGGTACCAATTGTATTGGAAATTTTAATTCCTAATTTATGAAAGTAAAAACTACGTGAGTATACAATTATATAAACCAGAAAAATTATATCCTTATCCTCAGATGCTGTAATTGCCACTTCTCACTTGAAATTATAATTTCTATTGATTATATAATTAACCCTTTGCGGTCGTTTGTCTACTCTCAGCCACCAAAGCTTTTTTACTGTTTCCGGTCGTATGGCTGCTCTCAGCCACCACAGCAAGGAACCATACGAATCTTAACTCTATTCATTCATGTATCAGTTCATAATTTCTCTGAAAGCTCTTAAGTGTCTAAGCGACCTTGTCACGAACCAAAACATTGCCCCAACAAATCAGAGATATCGAAACTCAATATAAACAAACGCGGTCGTTCCACACTCGCCATGCAAAACACCGTGGCGTGGCGAGTCAGTCGCCTTTTGAGAGTGAAGAAATCGACAAGCTTCGGAGATACTTCGCAGAATTTCAAATAAAGCTTTACAAATTACGTTTAACTGTAATTAGGCATTCTCACTTCTTAAGATATTTCAAAATAATACTCCAAAATGGCAAAAAGAAAGTTACCAAAAGAAGTGTACTGCGAATCTGAAAGTAACTATGAAGAGTTTTATTTTGGCACCTTGAATACTGACTCTGACGTAAAAAGTGATAGCATTTATAGTGACTCTACTAGTAGTGACGCAGTTCCAAAAAAGAATTAGTAAATCTTGTTTATCCTTCATAATCTTGCATGTTATGTATCACTGCTCTTTCAATGGAAATTAATTCCGACCAGTACGACACCCATGTCCAAATTTAGTACGACCACAAAGGGTTAAAGGAATAGCTATAGACAATGAACCCACAAAGCCAACTCAGGTCTTCATTAGTAGGAATTTAACTGCTCTATGATTTCTGTGCATCAAGAAAGCTATCTGATAGCTGACAAAAAGCCTGCACCAGATGTTGGCAAACATTTCCTATAAAGAGCCAGAAAATATTAAATATCTTCTGCTTTGTGGGCCACACAAAAACTGTCAAAAGTATTCAACTCTGCCACTGGAGAATGGCTGTGAGCCATGTTTATATAAAAAAATGAGGTGATGGCTAGCTACAGTCTGCCAACCCATTGTGCACACCTTCAAGAAACACACCCTCCTCCCCAAATGCAATCTGGAATGCAGGAGACTAAAACATACATGTCTTACTACCTTCAGGACCAGTAAGCATTCCAAGGTAGGAATCTTCCACAAAGATCAAACACCTGCCACCATCTCCAAAGGGATTCGTGTGGTACAGATACATAACATCTTTTTTTAAATCTAAATTATCTTTATTCAAAATATATCATATAGAGTACAAATTTTAAAAGTGAGGCTGATGGTCTGTAAAATATAGTTTCCTCATGCATAATTTATAGAAATCAAACTATAGTTGAAATATTTTAATTCAATAATAAAGTGTAATAGTTGCTATTATCTAACTCAAAATCCTGCAAAATTGGGACTATAGCCCAGTTTCAGAGAGAAAAAGCAGTACCAAAGTTGTTTTTCCATCCTATTGCACCCATCACTAGTTCTATACCATTTGTAGTGATTGTAATCTCCCTTCCAGCTTTTTCCTATTTCTCTTTCTATATAACCTATAATATAAGTGTAATATGCTAATTAGACTGGTCATCCTTTCGGACTAAGCTGGGGCTGCGAGGGAAGCCTGGATCCTGGGTGCCTGCCGGCAGCTGGAGGGAAGCCTGGGTCCCAGGTGCCAGAGGGAAGCCGGTGCCAGCAGCCAGGGGAAGGAAGGCCTACTCTTGCACGAATTTCATGCATTGGGCCTCTAGTTTTTTTTATGAGTCAAGACATAGCAGTCCCAATAAAATCCCTGGGTTCTCCCAACAATTATCATGTGGGTCCCCTTGTCCTAAAATTCTGTATACCCCTACATATTTTTTAATGTACAAGAATATCAGGTCTCTCGAAAGTTTAGAGTTCACTGATGAGGTAGTCTACCACTTGCTGTCCCTCCTTGAAAACAATGGAAAAGGAGTCCTACATGAACTTTCTAAACCCTAACTCCATCTTTTTGTCTCTATGCCACTTCTCATGGTTTCTGGTATCTCATTGTCACAAATACTCTTTCTATAGGGTCTTCCAGTTTTGAAATCATACTCTTACCAGGATTTTCTTGTTTCTTGTTTATCTACAATAAAATATTATGCTATAACCCTAACTCTTTTACAAGTTGAAATAATTGTAAAACATGAAATTTCAAATGTTCCTAGTTGTCTACCAGTATCCAGCATTTATACATCAAAGGATGCAATTTGAAATAATTTTCCTTAATATACCAATATTCTAGGGAGTCAAAACAAATAATTTTGGAAAAATGCATGTTATTGAGTATTCTTATTCCTTACTCGTTGAAGAAGTTTATCTCTGTAGTGTTCTACTTGCTCCTGAAAGCTCTGGCCTGGTTTTTTAGGCCTTTTTCCAGATTCCAATTCATCCTGAAACTTCATAACTTTGAGCTGTGAAATAAGACAAAATTTTTTCATCACTATAGTTTCTCAAGTACTGCTTGATGAACATGGATACATGGAACAGGTTGACAGCTGTCAGAGGGGAGGGGGGGCAGGAGGTCTGGATGAAAGAAAGTGAAGTGATAAGTAACCCTCCCACCCCCAATATATATATATAACACAGACACAGACAACAGTGTAGTGATGGCCAAGGGAAAAGGGAACTGTGGTGGAGATGGGCAAAGAGGGGAAAATGGGGATGGAAAGAGACTTTGCTTGGGGCAATGGGGCACACAATTCTGTGTGTAAATGATGTTTTATTGAGTTGTACACTTGAAATCTGTACTCCAATAAATTCAATTAAAAAAATATTTTCTTTGAAACAAGCGTATTAAAAGGAAAAACATAAATACAGCAAAGTAGCATGTGTCAGACAAGCCCAACTATGCAGAGCTCTCCACACAACCGTATAAGATGACTCAAAAACCTAAATGTGGTTCATGCCCTTAAGAACTTATCTCAACACAATGATAATGAAGTTGCCATCTGGTTCACCAAAGAATTACATTTTAAAATTAGAATTTGGTTCACAATGCAATTCCCCAAATGTTAAGTTGTTAAGAGGTAGGCACTACAAGAGCAAGAGAAACAATCGAGGAGTGTCTAGCAAAGAAAGGAAAGGTCAGATCATCAGAGAGCACATATATACAAATACATCAAAATTAACAAAAAAGCTAAATTAGTTTTTTTTCTCTTTAAGCCAATAAGGAAATAGAACATTTAAGAATGATCAAAATCTGTTTTGGCATTTTTAATTACCAAAATGTCACTTCAATTATCAAGAAAATATATTTTTAATGAACTTGGTCTTTGTTTCTACTCCAATATTCCATCGGGTCAGTTAGGCGGAGTTCAGCAAGGCTGTTAAAATGGGCACATGCAGCCTGAAAAGGGCAACTGTGAGTGTATTCACGGACATCCATCACCTTGCGCCCCTAAAAACTCTAGAGAGTGTAACTGAACACATCCCAGGAAAAATCAATCAACCTAACTCTGAAATCTCGCCTCTAAACTTACAATAACCCCATATGATTCTGTGGTAAAGTAGACAAAATGCTTTCTCTGTTAACTTTTTGGCTTGGTGACATTTGAGAATGAGGTGGACAAGAACTAAAACCAGCCCCAACAGTGAGTAGATGGAGAAACAGAAATAAGGTAATGAATTATCAGTAAAAGGAATAGCACTGACAGAGTATGCATTAAAAAATAAATACTGTTAAATGAATGGACAGAGTATTAACATTCACTCATGTATACTTTTCTGTTTGTTTTTTTAAGAGAGAAAAGGAGAGGGAGAAACATCAGTGTGAGAGTGAAACATTGATTGGCTGCCTCCTGCATGCCCCCTACCAGGGTGGAGCTTGCAACTGGAGTATGTGCCCAGGGCAGGAATCGAACTGGCAACCTTTTGGTGCACGTGATGACTCCTAAACAACTGAGCCGCAATGGCCAGGGCCACTCATGTACACTTTTGAGATTCTTGACTGACTGCTACACTATTTACTGGGCATGTTTCAAAATCTTGTGGCAAGGAATAGGAAGGAAGGTTCCCATTATAGAACTCTTCCCTGACATATATTTTAATACCTTTGAAAATAAATAGATGCTTTAAAACAGGGGAGGAATAGAGGGAGGGAAGATTCTGCTGGAGAAAGTTTGGACTCTCCCGTAAGTTTTTCTCCTTATTGTGAGGCCTCACTTAATGTCTACTGTCTCTCCATCACTAAAGGATGCAGACACTTAAAGTTAGCATACTGTAATAAATGTACACATAACTTGAACATGCCAAAAAGTATCTCACTTTTCTGAGTTATATTCTATGTACACTCAAAATGTAATGGCTTTCATAATGTCAGATGTAATCTATTCACTAGAATATCTTGAGAAGATCTCCTATGTGCCAGGCACTGGAGAGACATGGTTCTTTGCCCTCAATGGAAATCACAGTCTAGGAGGGAATACAGAAATTAAGCAAGCAATCAAGAAAAAAACCCATAAAACATAATCACTAATCATAACAGATAAATAGGGAGATGTAAGAAAATCCAGATAAGAAAAAGGATACAGGGGGAGAAGGGATGCTTGAACAAAGGACTGAAGGAAGTCAGCTAAGGCAGAGAGGGAACAGGATGTACCAAGGTGTGATGCCAAGAGGAAGCCTAGTTCAATAGAAAAATTGAGAGGTCAGTGCAGTTTTAAATTTCAATGCAATACCAACCTCAATTTCACGAAGTTTGGCTCGTTTTTCCTCACTCATTTCAGAGTACTTAGAGAACTTGGACTCGGTCATCTCTTCTTTGATTGGATTAGAATATAAATGATGTTCTTCAGATTTGGAACTTTGAGTATCTTCTTCATCTTCACTTTCTTCTTCTTGACTTTGGAAATAAGCAGAATACATTGTATGTCAAGGCAGCAAACAAAAGTTACATTTAACAGTCTGGCTTAAACTGCTTTACAGTTTAAATGACGCTAATAAAATATAAGAGGAAAATTCATCACAAAAACATTTTTTACAAAATATTTTATCAAATAATATAGATAATTTTATAAAACTGTTTCCTGCACAGAAAAAGTTGTGGCTTAAACATAACCATATTTTCAAAAATTCTGCTTATGTTAATGTTATGTGTGCCTTTCATTCTGTACCAAACTTTCCCTGAAGCAGTTAAATGAAATCACAGTTCACAGTGACTTCCACCAGCTTAATGTTTAAAAAGCCAAGTGTTTACCCTTCCTTCAGCAGAACCTATAAACGAGAAGAAAATGTCAGTTTGAGGCACACAGATTTGCTATGAAACAATCAATGCAGCATGTAGAGAAATTATTTGATTAGCATATAACTCTTGGAATAAAGAAAGCATGTGTAAATTTTAAATACTGGCACACTAATGATACTGAAAGTTGTGCAGGTTCTATGTCAGATAAGAAGAAAATGAAAAATTAAGTGACTAGCATGGGTAGGGATATGAAGAAGAAATTTTTCCTGTCCATCCCGCTGGCTGCCATCTAGGGAAACAGACAGGCAGGCAACCATGTGTATCATTACTACCACAGGATTAACAAAATGTTCTTCAAGCACACAAAAAAATGAAGGGGCTTAAGAAAAAGTTGTGTTCTGCATCTGGGCTTTGTGTGTGTATATGTTAAATCTGGGCAAAGCAAGTAATTTGTGTACAAACAAACTCAGAATGTTTATGTATATAAACAAAATTCCTTATAAACAATATTGTAAAACATTACTGGTTTAGCAAATATGCCATTTCTCTTTGATGTTTGATGTCTCAGCTGAGAAGCCCTTATATGTTGGTATCTGGGTACTAAATAAATTCTACCATAAGTAGGAGTCCTTTTAGTATATAGAAGACTATTGATAATAATGTAAAAACAGTTATAAACAAATTCTTTCCAAATAAGAATTTCATTATTTTAGAGCCTGACAAGATTTGCACAGTGAATGAGAAAAACATAAGCAAAGCAGATAAAATTAAAGTACTGGCAATTTAGAATAAAAAAAGACATGATATTAAAAGAAAACTAGTTTTTTGGGGTTTTTTTTTTTTTAAGAAAACTAGCTTAACGTCTCATCCAAAGGTGCCTTCCAGAATATTACTACTATGCTTTATAAACTTAAGACTCTCAGAACCCACAAATCATTAGTACTATATATAGGTACAACTTAACACAATACTTAGGTAAGGAGAAAAAAAATCAAGGCCAACTATTAAACAAACACTATATTTTTGGAAATAAACTTTTCACTTAATATTTCTCACTAATCTGTCAAAAACTTCATAAATGTTTTACTAAATTTTTAAACACAAGAATTTCTTGTTTTATGGTACATAAAACTTTTACAAGTGTTTCAGATGCTTTAAACAGCTCAACTGTGTGTGTGTGTGTGTGTGTGTATGTGTATGTGTGTGTGTGTGCGCGTGCGCGCGCGCATATTAATGCAGGTGTTTACTGAAGGATTATTCTGGAAAGGGTCTATCAAAATAAGGACGTGACACTGTTAATTAAATTGTGACACCTGCATAATGGAAATTACTTAACTTCCAGCCTATTATTTATTTGTTTCAATTTCTTTTCAAGATTTCAAATATTCCTTGTGCACTTACCTCAATGACTGCTTGTAAATATAGATGACTACAAAGCAGCTAAATAAGTAGATTGACATGAAATAATACCCATAACACTAGTGTGACAAGCATTGGTCACAGAATAGTATGTACAGTACTATATAATTAACTAGAGACCTGGTGCACAAACTTTGTGCGGGGGGGGGGGGGGGGGGCGGGGTGTGTGTGTGTGTGTGTGTGTGTGTGTGTGTGTGTGTGTGTGGATTCCTTCAGCCCAGCCTGCACCTTCTCCAATCGGGGACCCCTCAGAGGATGTCCGACCGCTGGGGTCCTATGGGATCACAATCTGGAACCACTAGCTCCTAACCACTCACCTGCCTGCCTGCCTGATCGCCCCTAAATGCCTCTGCCTGCTGGCCTGATTGAGCCCCCAACTGCTCTCCCCTGCTTGCCTGAGCTCACCCCCAACTGCCTCTGCCTGCCTGATCACACCTAACTGCCCTCCCATGAGGGCCTGATCTCGCCCCCAACTGCCCTCCCCCACCAGCCTGATTTTGCCCCTAACTGCTCTCCCCTGCCGGCCTGATCGCCCCGAACTGCCTCTGCCTGCCTGACCATCCCTAACTGCCCTCCCCTGCCGGCCCGATCTCGCCCCCAACTGCCCTCCTCTGCCGGCCAATTTGGTTCTGATTGGTCAGTTTCTATGCCAGTCAGTGTCAAAAGCTCCGTCTCCTAGGCAGTCATTGGCTCCTCACAGTTGACCAGATTTGGTTCTGATTGGTCAGTTTCTATGCCAGTCAGCATCTCTGGGCCTATCAACAGGGCCTGATCAGAAAGGCAGGGCTGATCAGCAGCCCCGGTGGAGGCCTGGAGAGAAAGGGAGGGGCAGCTGTTGGCCAGGCTGGGAGAGAAAGAGAGGCAAGTTCTGATCAACGGCTGCCACAGAGGCTACAAATCAGACCCTGCCTCTCTCTGGGCCTGATCTGAAGCCCCCTTGGCATTTTCGGTCTGGTTGAGCCTTCGGTCATAATCGGTTGTTACGACCCTGGCTCTTTATTATATACATGTTTAAAAATGATACTCATGTTTTTACATATACAGAGAAAGGATCTAGATGGCTGGACACTAAACATTAACCATATTATTAAGCCTATTATTAAATGAGACACACTATACTTCAATAATTTAAGATATATATATTTTGCCGAGACCGGTTTGGCTCAGTGGATAGAGCGTCGGCCTGCGGACTGAAGGGTCCCAGGTTCGATTCCGGTCAAGGGCATGTACCTGGGTTGCAGGCATATCCCCAGTAGGAGATGTGCAGGAGGCGACTGATCGATGTTTCTCTCTCATCGATGTTTCTAGCTCTCTATCTCTCTCCCTTCCTCTCTGTAAAAAATCAATAAAATATATTTTTTAAAAAAAAGATATATATATTTTAGAATTGTCATTTTAATTTTTCAAGGCTCAAGCAGTGTGTTTTAATTGGTTATGACTTTAGCTCTTAAATTATCAATTCTAGGTTCAGATCTTATCACAACGTCATCCTGCTCTTTAAAGAAATAGAAACTCAAGACTCTAAACCCATACAGAATTCATTACAAATGAAGTTATATTACTATTTGGAACTTTTATCCAAAGCATTCGTGATACTATATATTTTTTAAATCACATTTCTGCCACAAATGCAATTACTAGTTTCAAAAAGCAGCTCCTTAGTAAAAAGGCGTTTTGGATTCAGCCACTAGAGAGCAGTAGTGAGACATAGGAAAATTTTAAGGCTCAAAGTTGTATGGGAAAAACTTCCTTGCTTTGTACTTTCATAAAATTATTTTTCTTGTCATGATTTATTTAGAGCTCCTAGAAAAATCAAAAATATAAATATTTTCAGTAACCCATGCCTTACTATATGAACATGATTACTCTATTCTCAATACTACAATGCATTTCCATTCCAAACATTAACACAAATATCAAATGTATGCAAAAAAATTAACACCTTTATAAATAAAACCCATTAAACAATATCTGAGCTCTGCAATGGCTTTTCTATCCTTTCTTTACCCTAAATTAAATAATCATTCTATGGGTACACGGACTCATTCTACAGCAGTGATTCCACAACGTTGAAAGATGTTATTAATGGGATTATAGATTTAAAAAGTTAGAAAAACTACTGTTCCCAATTCCTATACTCCTAAACAGTCTCAGATAGGTATTTCCACAAACCACATCTACATTTTTAAATACTCTGTGATAACAATTGCTGACTTGTTCTGATCACACTGATATTTATGGAAAAGCATTACTGTTGCCATGTTTTCCTCATCATATCAAATTGTTTCCACAAATGGCTCTAGCTGGTTTGGCTCAGTGGATAGAGCATCAATCAGCCTGCGGTCTGAAGGGGTCTGGGTTTGATTCCGGTCAAGGGCACATGCACGGGTTGCAGGCTCGATCCCCAGTAGGGGGCGTGCAGGAGGCAGCCAATAAATGATTCTCTCTCATCATTGATGTTTCCCTCCCTCTCCCTTCCTCTCTGAAATCAATAAAAATTAAAAAAAATTGTTTCCACAAATGCAAATCAATCACGTTTCCTTAACAATCTAAATGCTACTAATACCCATTTATTGAATCCATTCAAATGCTCAAATTGTGCTGGGACACAAAGGCCCCTTTGTTCACTCTTCCATTTGAGACCAATAAAAAACCAAAGGTTAAAAAATTGGAAATTTCTTCTTTGTGTTCTTGAGGCCCTACCTTTTCTATTTAAAAAGTTAACTTCCGGTGCAATTATTTTAAAAAAGGTGTCAAGTGCTATGGAAAAGCTACTAATATTAACCTGCAGAATTGGGAGCAGGGATTCCTATAGTTACATTTGATGTCAAATGCAAAAACAATTTTGGAGTGATGAACAATAAGCAAAACTCAAAATTACAATTTCTTCATGCATTAAGGAATATTTTTTTCCTTTTAATCTTAGTTCTTCTGAGGTTTTTACATTTAAATAACATAACAGAGTATGCATTTTTCCAGCAATGTACAATCCAAAAGAAACATAACCTTCCTATTCACATTTTAATAATAATTTTCTGTGAAACCAAAACAAAGACTTAAATAAATGCGGGTGACCATTTAGTAACTACAAAATGAGAATGTAATACCTAGGACAGAAAAATAAACTCAAAAGCAAAGTGAAACCAGATGCAGCAAGACCAGAAATCTAAGGCTCCTCATTCACTGGAAAAACAATGGATAACTAAAATTGACCCCCATAACAAGGTTTTTAACAGTGAAGTTTCCCTCTTTACTATTATTTCAAGTATTTTTTAATGAAAAAAGGGAGCACATATGCAATAAGAAACAGAGTATATTAAAAACTTAAATCATTAGACTCTTACTTTTGATTTTCTTCTTCTTCTGATTCTTCATGCTGGTCAAATAACTCCCATTTAGAAGTTGTTACAGCTGGATGGAAGAGAAAAAAAGATCTAATTCCATAAGATAAGTTAGCATTTTTGCAGAAGCTTAGTAGAAGCCCAGTTGCAGAACTGAAATTTTATATTACTGGTTATCTACATGTATTTATTCAGTCTTTGTCCATTTCTATGCTAAAATCTATTTCTTTCCTCCTCACACATACACTATACTTTTATTCAAATTCATGAAGTGACAAATAATGTTATCCTTATTTCTGTGCTAGATGATAAGATTTATTCATTAGAACCTACAAGTATTAACAATTACAGATTATAAGCAGTAGGATACATATGGAAGGCAGATCTAACTAAGTCAAGCATTATGGGAGGGGCAAAGATTGGTTTCTCTGAAACTGACTTCTAAGTAGATTTCCACACAGGTACAGCCTCCCATCTACATTTTCTACTGAAATGCTTTAACCCAGTGGTCGGCAAACTGTGGCCCCTTGAGTGTGGCTCTTTCCATAAAATACCACGTGTGGACGTGCACGTACAGTGCGATTGAAACTTCGTGGCCACACTCAAGGGGCCAAAGAGCCGCATGTGGCTCGCAAGCCGCAGTTTGCTGACCACTGCCTTAACCCTGATTTCTTTAGTTACTCTCAAGGCATAAAAACGGAAAGATCTAAAGGAATTATAGCAGGCCCACAATGAAAACTTAGCTACTAGACATAAATCTGATAACACTGGGTCTTAAGGTTGAAATATTGTAAAACATAAAAACATACTCACATACACCAATGATTGATTTTAAGAACTGAATTTTCTAAAATTCAGTATTTGTTTTTTTACTCACCCTGTGCTTCTAATTCAGATTCATCTACAGCTTCCCATTTTGATGGAGCAACTTTAAATATAGGCTCATTCTTCTTTGAGTCTTCAGTGGCATCCACTACTGAGGAAACATAAGCCATTAACCCTGACTTCTAGGGGATGACCTAAATTAAAGAATTTACGGGTATTCACTGTATCAGCTATTTTCAACCGGTGTGCCGGAAAAAATTTTAAGACGCGCAATACCTGACCTCTTTTCTCTTAGATTGTCAAATTAAAAAACAACAGCAGATAACACAACAATAGCTGCCCAATGTGAATGAATCAAAATTATACCTTTTTTGTCAGATTGGCATAAAATGGTATTTTTTGGTGTGTTGCATGTAGAATTTTAGTAATTATAGTTTATGTATGTGACATGAGATGAAAAGGTTGAAAAATCACTGCAATGTAATAAAAATAAGGCCACACATGGACTAATAATTCTAGTGTCAAAAACAAGGATTATGTCCCGGCTAGTTTTGCTCAGTGGATAGAGCATTAGCCCACGGACTGAAGGGTCTCAGGATCCCAGGTTTGATTCTGACCATGGTCACACATACAGCGGTTGCAGGCTTGATCCCAGCCCTGTGTGGGGCACGTGTGGGAGGCAACCAATCAATGTGTCTCTCTCACATCAATGTTTCTCTCTTTCTGTCTCTCCCCCTCCCTTCCACGCTCTCTAAAATATCAATGGAAAAATATCCTCAGGTGAGGATTAACAACAAAAAAAAATAAAAAAATAAAAAATAAATAAAAACAAGGATTATGACTACACAATTCTCTGCATCTGAGAAAAAATTTTTAAATAGCATATAAATCAACTCAGAACATGTAGGTTATTTTTATTTCAAGCAAATGGAGAAGGAAATAAAAGAATCTTTAATACCTTTACTTAAATTACCATTTAAACCAAAGATTTCATATATCATGCAATATCTTAACATAATTCAAATGTAATGGAGATTGCACAGAATTCTTATTTCCAAAACTGATTTTTGGCAGATAAGAAAACAGCCTATTTGTTAGGAAGACTAATAATAAAAACAGAACTGATAACACCAGGCACCTGGGATTATGAATACAATTGAGCACAAGATTTTACCTTTAGTTTCCTGACAATTAAGACAAAAAAGAGCCCGACTGGCTCAGTGGTTGAGCGTCAACCTGTAAACCAGGTCACTGTTCAATTCTCGGTCAGGGCACATGCCCGGATTACAGGCTCGATCTCCAGAGGGGATTGTGCAGGAGGCAGCCAACCAATGATTCTCTCTCATCATTGATGTTTCTATCTCTCTTCCTCTCCCTTCCTCTCTGAAATCAATAAAAATATAATTAAAAAAATATAAGACAAAAAAAGAAGCTTGTTAATATAATAGGCTAACTGTCCCAACAAAAAAATGTGACCAGAATGAAAATCTGTTCTTCACATAGTCAATTGTATTACTTGTATTTCAATTTGGAAAAGGCAGAAATAAAAAAATAAAAAAGTCAATGGCTGACATCTTATTCCCTTTTTCCATATCAGCTTGTGTGGACATTCAGAGTTTTGGAATCCAACTTGGATATTAACAGATTTAGATTTAATCAGTCTGAAGTCTGCACTTACAAGGCACTCCATCAAGATCATCATCAAAACTCTTTATAGGGACTCCATCAAGATCATCAATGGGTGTAGCATCAATAGGAATTCCATCCACATCTTCCAAAGGTGCACCATCAAGCTCTTCTTCAATAGGGGCACCATCAAGGTCATCTGGTACATCCTATGGAAACACATATGACAGTAACATTTTCTTTAACTTACTGAAGTCATATTGCTAAAGATGAATTCGCAGTATAGAATAAACCAACTAACTGGATACCCACATTCCCAGGTCCAAAGTGAGGACAAGAATATACAGGGTGGAACAAAAGTAGGTTTACAGTTGTTTGTATGGAAAATAATATAATCCTACATAGTAAAAACCTAATATGCAAGTCGACCAAATGGAGGAACGACTGGTAGCTATGACATGCACTGACCGCCAGGGGGCACTCAATGCAGAAGCTGCCTCCAGCCCACAAGTCAGCCAAGGCAGGTGCCTGTAAGGGGGAGCCCCGATCACGCCGCCCATCACCCCGCAGAGGGAGGCGACAGGTGCCAGGGGGCGGGGACGGCAAGCAGGTGGCGCCAGGCCGGCTAAGGCGGGTGCTAGCGGGGGCCCTCAAATTGTCCTGCCGGTCACCCCACAGACTGGCCCTGATTGTCGGCCAGGGCTAGAGGCCCTACCCATGCAGGAATTTCATGCACCAGGCTTTTAGTACTTAATAAGTAGTAATACAAGAATAAACTGTGTTTTGAGTACTCATAACTATAAACCTACTTTGCCCCATCTTGTATTTTATACCCTGGCCAGTGTGCTCAGTGGTAGTGTCGGCCTTAGCACCCAAGGGTCTCGGGTTTTGATTCCGAGTCAGAAGCACATAGCTGAGCTGCAGGTTCAATCCCCACCCCAGTTGGGGCTCATGAGGGAGGCAACCAATCGATGTTTCTCTCACACTCCCTCTCTCCCTCCCTTCCTTCCACTCCCTAAAAATCAATGGAAAGAATATGCTTTATCATCCAGTCTGACAAAGAAACAGTAGTCATTCATTCATTCATACATTATTTATCAAATATTAACAAGTGTTTACTGATGCCAGGTACCATGTGAGGCACTGAGTATATAATGATGAGTGAAAAACAAGCTTGGTCCCTTGGTCTCTTCTGTCATAGAGCTTAGAATTTGGGGGGAGGGGAGAGCCAGGCAACCAGATAATCACAACAATCTTACCCTATATAATAAAACACTAATATGCAAATCGACCGAACAGCAGAATGACCGGTTGCTATGACGTGCACTGACCAGCAGAGGGCAGACGCTCAACGCAGGAGCTTCCCCCTGGTGGTCAGTGCGCTCCCACAGGGGGAGTGCTGCTCAGCCAGAAGCTAGGTTCACCGCTGGCAAGCGCAGTGGCGGTGGCAGGAGCCTCTCCCGCCTCCGCGGAAGTGTTAAGGAAGTCTAAGGGAGGTTCGACTGCTGGCTAAGGCCCGTTCCCCGGGGAGTGGGCCTTAGCCGGCAGTCGAACATCCCCCAAGGGTTCCCGGACTTCGAGAGGACGCAGGCCAGGCTGAGGGACTCCCACTGAGTGTATGAATTTCATGCACCGGGCCTCTAGTATACATATAACTGCAACTAAGATGAATGCTAAAACAAGGAGGTATATCATACTATTAGAGTACATAATAAGTAGGTTTCACCTAAAGAGGTCAGAGAAGATTCTGACATTATGCTTAAACTGAGGTCTGAAGAGCTCAGGTAAAATAAAAAAGATGTTCCAGAAAGAGCTATGGTAGGAGGAAACATTGTACATTGAAGAAAAATAAAAACAAATTGAAACAAGGACCATGTGGTTGGAGTATGGATGCCAATTAGGAGTATCTTGTAAGGAAGAAAGTGAAAACATGATAGCTGGATTAGAATTATAAGTATGAAGGATTCAAGAACTACTGAGGAGGTAAAAAGCAACAGAATGGTGATGAATAGAATCCGCTATCATTGTGGTACATCTTTCCATGTACATACTTATTTACATAGGAGGCCCAATGCACAAAATTTGTGCGGGGGGTGAGGGAGGCATGGGCCAGGGGAGGTCCCTCAGCCCGGTCTGCACCCTCTTGCAATCTGGGACCCCTCACTCCTAACCGCTCGCCTGCTTGCTCTTTACCACTTGGCTCGCCATTCCTTAGCACTGCCACAGAGGTGGGAGGCTTCCACCACTGCCACTGCACTCACCAGCCATGAGCCCAGTTTCTGGCTGAGCGGTGCTCCAGCTGTGGGAGTACACTGACCACCAGGGGGCAGCTCCTGCATTGAGTGTCTGCCCCCTGGTGGTCAATGTGCTTCATAGCGACCAGTTGTTCCGCCAGTATTTCTGCCGTTTGGTCGATTTGCATATTAGGGTTTTATTACATAGGATCTTTAGTCTAACAAAATAAAATCCTGCTACATATATTCTCAATTACTTGCTTCTTTCTACTGGTATACAGTAAATCTTTTCATGTCATCAAATAAGAAAACAGTCACTGATTTTCACATAAGGACACAAAACAGAGAATTCCTGTTACAAATAATCTCAACTAGTGAGTTCTAGTAATTACAGCAACAAAATCTACTATTTAGTGGTAAAAAGTAAATATTTTCATGAAGAAATTTTATATCTATAACGTATCACACTTCCACAGCATCCCCAGAAATAAATTTTAAAATAATCAGACAAGGCCCTGGCTGGGTAGCTCAGCTGATTAGAGTATCGCCCCTATACACCAAGGCTGCAGGTTTGATCCCATCATGGCACATACAAGAATCAACCAATAAATGCATAAATTAGTGGACCAATAAATCAAGGTTTCTAATGTTTCTCTGTCTCTCTCTCCTTTCCTCTATTTCTCTCTGAAATCGATATATAAAAATCATTAAATATAATAATCAGACAAATACACTGAGTACCTACCTCTGTTTCCTTTTCTTCAATAATATTTACAAGTCCTAAGAAAATATTTTGCAATTTGATCAAAAATGGTTCTGGATAAATTGCCCAATCTTCCCATGCTCTGAAGCAGGTCATTACCCGTTGCTAAAGAAATAGGAAAACATAACAAGTTATTCATGACAACGTCTCAAATTTCATCTCATGAAAATAAATATCACAATTTGTTGAATTTTTCACTAGGTCAACATTCTTTTTAAAATTTATAGAAAATAACTATCATTGCCATGTTTTTAAATAATCAATGTCACCTTCCAATTAAAAATAATGAAAAAGAAGCACTATTTGCTCTTGATCACCTAAGATCAATGTCCCATACATATCACTAGTGCAGTGATGGCGAACCTTTTGAGCTCGGCATGTCAGCATTTTGAAAACCCTAACTTAACTCTGGTGCCGTGTCACATATAGAATTTTTTTGATATTTGAAACCATAGTAAAACAAAGATTTATATTTTTGATATTTATTTTATATATTTAAATGCCATTTAACAAAGAAAAATCAACCAAAAAAATGAGTTCGCGTGTCACCTCTGATACGCGTGTCATAGGTTCGCCATCACCGCACTAGTGGTACACATGAGGCCACATTCTGGGAAACATTATCTTAGGAACTTATGAAAGCTGGATATCAAGGTATGAAGATATGACCCAAATTCCTTTATGAGCCAATGAAGTACTTTCTAATTCTGGCTAACACTTTTTTTCTACCCCATCCCTAAACCTCTCTATATAATAAACTCTGACTTACGGTCATTTAAGGTGAAAATATTTTAAGTGCTGTTGGTTTGTTTGAATCCCCTAAATGATGTTGTCATTGGGCATCTTTCCAAGTTAAGAAATTTCCTTAAAAAAGTCTTCTTCCAATGAAAATATATCTATTTATTCAATTATAAGGTATTTTGTTTAGCTTTTCTTAACAACGGCTTACAGCTTAAGAGGTTATAAAAAATTAGTAATGCATATAATTGTAAACATGAATAATTAAAATGTGTGTTTCTAACCCAGACAAATTATAAAAGTTAACAACAGGAATATGGTTCTAAGAAATGTATTGTTAAGTGATTTCATCGTGCAAACATCAGAGAGTGCACCTACAACACCTATATGGTACAGCGACTACACTCCTAGGCTGTATGGTATAGCCTATTGCTCCTGGACTACAAACCTCTGCAGCACATTACTGTAAAAAAACATGAGATTAAATCAAGCACAAGAGAACAATATTCAAGAGATTTATGAGGCTGTTGCCAGGTAACACGACATACTAATTTACGGCAAACTTTTTAAAATGCCCTGGCTGGTGTGTCTCAGTGATTAGAGCATCAGTCCACACACCAAAGGGTCAGGGGTTCGATGCCCAGTCAGGAGCACATACCTGGGTTACAGGTTTGATCCAGGCCCCTGGTTGGGGCGAGTGTGGGAGGCAACCAATTGATGTGTCTCTCTCACATAGACGTTCCTCTCTCCCTCTCTCTCTCTCTCTCTCTCTCCCTCTCCCACCCCTTCCTTCTCTTCCACTCTCTAAAAATCAATGGAAAAATATACTAGGGTGAGGATTAACGCCCCTCAAAATACAAGATTGATAAAAGTTAAGTATATACATAAATGAGTATGTCATTTATTATCATTATCAAGTATTATTTATGACTATACATAATAGTAAATAGCATACTTTTATGTGACTGACAGCACAGTAAGTTTGTTTACACCAGCCAGCATTATTACAAAGATGTGAGAAGATGCTGCACTAGTCATTACGGTATCACTAGGCTAGGAGTTTTTCAGTTTCACTCTAATCTTATGGAAGCAACACCATATTGTTAAAAAATTATTATTTTTGTTAATCCTCACCTGAGGATATTTTTCCATTGATTTTTTAGAGAGTGGGAGGGAGACAGGCAGACACAAACACTGATGTGAGAGGGACACATCAATTGGTTGCCTTTGCACATGCCCCGACCAGGACTGGGGCGATGGAGCCTGCAACCCAGGTACATGCCCTTGACCAGAACCGAATCTATGATCCTTCAATCTGTAGGCCGACAGTCTTTCCACTAAGCCAGACTGGCCAGGGCCCACCATCATTTTTTTACTGAAATGTCCTTATGCAGTGCATTACTGTATACCATTACAAAACAAGTAATCTTTTGAGTGTGTTTTTTGAAAAGAGAAGACTAATTTTCAGCGAATTTTTGTAAAATACTTAAAACTAACAGTCGACAAAATAACACTAAATAATACATTTTAAATTTCAGGTATATTTTGAAATGAAGGTAACATTGCAGTAAATTTCAGAATAATTTCTGAATCAGGCAAGTTATGTTTTATATCCTATATAATAAAAGCCTAATATGCAAATGTCTGGTCGATTGGTTGGCCGTTCAATATGCCAATGACATGCTAAGGCCACTCAACTGGTCGTTATGACCTGCACTGACCGCAGGGGGCAGAAAGTCGACCAGTCGCTATGATGTGCACTGACCACCAGGGGGCAGACGCTCTGATGGGTTAGCTTGCTGCTGTGGTCCGGCCAATCATGACTGAGAGAGATGAGCCGGACACGCCCTGGAGCCCTCCCAGGGTCCCTCCCAGGCTGGTCAACCTCCCGCATGCCTCCCCGGCCCCGATCGTGCACCAGTGAGGTCCCTTGGCCTGGCCTGTGCCCTCTCGCAATCCGGGACCCCTCAGGGGATGTTGGCAAGCTGGTTTCGGCCCGATCCCGCAGGCCAGGCCAAGGGACCCCAACGGTACATGAAGTCATGCACTGGGTCTCTAGTATGTCTTATATACTTTTCTAGCTCTCCAATGTGCTTCTCAGCTCCCATGCCCCATATTCAAAACTAAGGCAGCAAAAATAATAAAATAGTAAACATACCTTAAAGTTTTCAGACTGTAAATGGCCTTGAATTGTACGATAGGTAGCATTGAGGTCTGAAAATATCTGACATAACTTTGTTTCAAAACTGAAATTGAAATAATATATTCTTAAAACAGAATTTGTTTTAAAATCCCTACCTACTTCAGTATGCTATCCAAACCCCTCCCAGACCTAAAAAAAAAACACAACAAAACCTACCAATAAATTAAGCAATCTTGTAAAAATCAAGAACTAGATGCTTAACCTCTAAAACTGTAATTCAACTGCTTTAACACCTAATTCTAAATTTTTCTCTTGCAAAATCCCCAAAAGAGCCTTAAGTAATATTCCTTGATTAGCAAAGAACTTTACATCTGACACTTTGAGCCACCTAGTCGGAACTCTGGGGAATTATGGAAGAGTTCTAAATTAATTACAGTTAAGCAACATAATTTCCTATTGCCGAGGAAAGCATTAGCAATGAACTACAACAATATAATGATGATCAGAAGTAAACACATATTGGATAGTTAATGCTTTGTCTTTTGTCTCTTCCTTTGCCATTGTTTCAGTTTATTTATTATATAAGTGGCTAAATATTCAATAAAAACAGTTACTTTTTAACTGGTCCTATTTGTCTTGTTACCAAGTTAACCAATAAAAACTTTCAAAAAACTGTTACTTTAGCTTGAAAGTGGTTTAGTTCAATGAATGCAATCCAATTTTTTAGAATATTCTATGACTACAAAGAAATTCAAATTATTTCTTATTATTGGATGGTGTTAACAAAACAGTGCTCTCTTCTGAACTCCTTACCCTAAAGTATTTAAAGTATTTTATTTCAGAAATATCAATTTACCTCATTTTACTTACAATTTTCTATAATATGAAGCATTGGCAACTTTTGCTGAAGAGTTGTACAAAACATCAGAAACCAAATATAATCTGGCAATCTAGAATACCAAAAGATAACATAAAACAAATTAAAAATAAAAACCATCAGAAACAACATATCTAGAAAAAAAAAATCCATATTGAATTTTTTGGAATCAGTGTAATAAGGCCAATGTTTACAATTTAATAATCATGACTAATTAGAATAGTTACAAGAAATTTCACATTACCACAATCATTACTTTTGCAGGGATAAAACTTTAACTCATTTACATTTCAACCTGTTAACTTGTCTGTCAATTAACATAACAAGACTGCATAAGAAAAGATTTCCTGGGTCAAGTTCTTCATGCAAAAAAGGAAACCAATTTCAATCCAAAGAGCCAACTATTATCTCCCCTTTTACCTATTCAATCTGTCCATTAAGAAAATTCAGCTGGCACACAACTCAATAAATGTTATCTAAATGAATAAATGACAGATTCATTAATTATTATATGATGAGGAACCTTGGCAAAGTAAGCATTCATTTTAACTTATAAACCATCCAAGACTAGCTAGCTAGTGATAAGAGCTAGGAATGAAAAGCAGATCTTCTTTTACTTGTTGGAATTTCTAAATTCAAGAGGGATTATAATTTTTAAATTAGATATATACTCAATTAGGAATTAGGCAGTATCTTATAAACAGTTAACTTGTTAAATGGTTTATATAATCCATACTAGAGGCCCAGTGTACAAAAATTTGTGCACTCGGGGCGGGGGTGGGGGGGTGGAGGGGTGCCCTCAGCCCAGCCTGTGCCCTCTCCCAGTCTGGGACCCCTCAGGGGATGTCCACCTGCTGGCTGAGGCCTGCTCCCCGGGGGATAGGGCCTAAGCTGGCAGTCAGACATCCCTCTGGCAGCCCAGGAGCCCTCGGGGGATGTCCACTTGCCAGCGGGGAGCAGGCCTAAGCTGCAGTCGGACATCCTTAGCACTGCTGAGGAGGCAGGACAGTCTCCTGCCACCACCACTGTGCTGGCAGCCGTCAGCCTGGCTTGTGGCTGAGCAGAGCTCCCCCTGTGGGAGCACACTGACCACCAGGGGGCAGCTCCTGCACTGAGTGTCTGCTCCCTGCTGGTCAGTGTGTGTCATAGTGACCAGTCTTTCCCATCATTCTGCTGTTGGGGTCTATTTGCATATTACCCTTTTATTATATAGGATGATTACTTTCTTTTCTTAAAAATGTATTATTTCTGAATTTTGTAATTAGACTTAAAAATACCAATGTAATAATATTAACCAAAGCCCATCAGAATAAACAACTGCTTAAATGGTTTCATGACAAAACAAAAACAAAAATCATACCTTTTTGGGAAGGGGCGTCTTTAGGATCGACAATGACTCAGTAATACAATCCACTATTTCTTCAGCAGCTTCAGCATTATTAAGACAGAAAACCATTGCATCTCCAATATCATTTTTCCTTGGAGTTAACCCTCGCAGGATTTCTTCTAATTTGTCCCTCTGTCTAAATACAAATTTCAAATGTCATTATAGCTACTGCTCATAAACTAATTTCTTTAAAATCAATCAGTAAAATAATTCTGACGATTAAATTGTGTTAAATCTGATTTGTATTAAGTCCCCCAAATATGTTTTGTTCTTTTTAAAGAACTTATATGAGGAAGAATCATTTTCCTGGCCTTAAACTAATAAACAATTCCAATAACTTTTAGTTTACAAATTTAAGTCATTTTAAAATTATGGGCACTTTTTCAAGAGTATTTAAAAGCATCCCAGTCCTTTTACGCCACTCCACTGAAAAAGAACCTTCATGTTCTTTACCCTCCTTTGAAGGGTCTTTAGCACTTCTACATAACATTAGGAAAGGCTAAAACAGGGACTGACAAACTTCTCCTATAAAGGATCAGATAGTAAATATTTTAGGTTTTGCAATCCATATGGTCTCTGTCATAGTTACTTTTCTGCTAGTACAACACCACAGCAGCCATAGACAGCATGGAAAGGAATGGACATGACTGTGTTGCAATAAAACTTTACAAGAACAGAAGGCAGCCCGATTTAGCCTGTGGGCTGTTTGTGGACCCTAGTCAAAAGTAAAGACCATACATCTTCAGAAGCAAATATACTTTCAAATACTACAGTTCTCCATTACCAAATGCTCTCATAAACAATGCATCAATGCAATCAGATTAAGATTTATAGACTATGCAGTGAAGTATATAATCCTATATGCTAAAAATTCTTTTTCCATGAGGTATACAGAACTTCCTCTGAACATTTAGTAGTTACATTTATTTTTTTAATTTTCTTTAAAAATAATTTGTTTCTGATCACAAGGTACAGGGAGGATTCAAGGGCAATGCCCGTGACTCCCATGCTGCCCAACACAGTCTAAGCATGTGATAGTGTGTATACCAGGCTCATCCTGACCCAAAGTGTTCACTCACATTCTAACTGCTACAGAGTACAATATCTGACCATGTGGGAAGTTTAAATGTGTTTTCCAGCTTACTTGTAAATACTGAAACTGAAATAACTATTCTAACTGCTAATTTCCTAAAGCTCTCAAGAATGAGTAGGTCACAGGCAAACTATTCCTGTACAGCACTTAGAGCCATTTAAACTTTTCAAGAGGCATTTCTTAAACAGCAGTGACTAAGGCCCCTTCTGTGTTCCCAGTCTACTACTGTCCACGGTGCCTGTAGCCTTGAATGACAGCCCTTGGAGGTCCCCCAATATCCAAGAGTGCAATGGAGGAAGGGTAGGCCAGGCCCAGCACGACAAATTAACAGTCAATTTTATTGCGCTCAGATTAGAAGTCCGTGACTCTTGAGGACGGCCTCTGTGTACGTATAGTTTTCTTCTCCACATTACCGTTTCCATAGCCTCACAAGCTGTTTTTCCTCCCTGTAATGGATCTCGACCTTCTCCTGCCTCTCCTCGTCCAAACTGGCTGTGACTGCTGGTACTTTCAGGGAAGTCAAATGAGCCAGGCGTCCTGGGTAGGCCAACTTCCCTGTAGGCTTCAGATGCACACCCTTGAGGGCAGCAGGAACCACCATTAGCTTTTTCTTATCATAGGGCAGCACGATCCCATCAACATCAAACACCTTGAGGCAGTCCAAGGCCACCTGGCCTCACTTGGTCTTGTGCAGCAGCATGCCTAACACAGTCTGCCAAAAGATGCGGCTGGGGTTGGGAAGAGGTAAGGACCTTGGGATGGGTTGGTGTTCATCTGCTTGCAGAGGAAGGCCAGTTCCTTCAACCTGTTTCTCTAAAAATTGCCAGAAATATTGATGCCTTCACAGTGCACAGTGACGATGGCCACCAGGCACCCAGAAGATGCCTTGACCACCGAGCACCAGGACCTGCCCCTCGACCATCTTAATCAGCTGCCTGGGAAAAGATGTTTCTGCTTCTTAAACCAGGCTAACTTCACTGTCCCAGAGCTGGCAGAGCACTGTTAAGAACAAATGCACCCACAGTGGCCATATACTGTACAGTGTAGAGACGCTTCAACAGTCAACCATCTGACCTTACTAAGCCAGACAACAATTTTTCCTCTTTATGTTGCATTCAGAGAGACAAGAATTCTAAGACTACTGAGATAATTTCTGTAAGAATACAAAGTATTCCACTGCTAAAGAATCACTGCTCATAAAATCATCACAAATTTTATTACAAATTTTATCAGTAGGAAGAGGTCAAGACCAATAAGATACACATTTACTCTTGCTGCTAAGATGTTTAAGCACAGTTAAAAACTTTATTTTAAGGTTAACATCTTCCTAAGACCATTAATTAAAGCACCATTAAAGGACTTTTCTGAGTATGTAACAGAAAGGGAAAAATCTTACTCTTCCTTAAGTGCTCCCTTTTTATTAGGCTCCTCTACAAAAGCTTCTGTTTCTTGTTCTTCTGACATCCCATGCAGGTATGGATTTAATGGTGGTGGCCTCCAAAAAGATCCATTTTTGAACATACGAAAATCTTCCGTCCGCCACTTAGTTGGAGAATCTCCCTAATAAACATCCAAAATGTTATTAGAAAGCTCCAATACCTCAGTCAAAATTAACAAAGTAACTGATTCTACTTGCCTGCAGAATAGAATAAAGCTTCCACCTATAGTAAACATGGGCTGGTGTCTGGTTTTCAAATAAGAATCTAAAACAAAACAAACAAATTAAACATCAGATTCTTTTTTTTTTTTTTTTCCTTTTTCTTTAATATATTTTATTGCTTTTTTACAGAAAGGAAGGGAGAGAGATAGAGAGTTAGAAACATCGATGAGAGAGAAACATCGATCAGCTGCCTCCTGCACATCTCCCACTGGGGATGTGCCCGCAACCCAGGTACATGCCCTTGACCGGAATCGAACCTGAGACCTTTCAGTCCGCAGGCCGACGCTCTATCCACTGAGCCAAACCGGTTTCGGCGAACATCAGATTCTTTAAGAACTGCATTCAAGTAAATATAAACCAATGAAAAATATTTGCCTACTTAGTTCTAAATAAAACCAAAAGCAAAGATTGCTGAAGAGAAACCCCTATTCATGTGATGTGCCATCTATATCCTTCTTCACCCAGCCCCAGACTACCTTCATGACTGACACTAATATTCACAAGGCATATATGATTCTTGCTAAATCTTACAATTTTATTGTGTTCAATAAAATGTGCCAGATACTGTGTCTGACAATGAAGATATTTTCCCAAGATATAATTTTAAACAGTGGTTTTTTAAAACTACTTAAGAGTGTTAAATGAAATAGATATAATTTTGATTCATTCACACCAAAAAGTGTTAAATGTCTTAGAAGATAAGCAATTTCCTATAAGCCTCATTTGTTCTACTATATCTCACTTATGAGAAACTTTCATTGAAAAGCATAATGAAATGTATTTTCCTCCTAGAGAATACTAAAAACAATGCTTTTTTTATTAACTAAAGCAAAATCAGATGGAAAACTGACCGAAATACATTCTAGTTGAATTACTAAATCTGCCTTTTCATCTCATTGCAAAAATAACCTGATACTTTTGTAACTTTATTCTTGGAAATATATCTAATTCAAAAAATGAAAAGTACTTTTAAAATTCATACTGATGATGAATGAAATGTGGTAAAACATGCAATGGAATATATTTTAGACTTTAAAGTAATGAAATTTTGACAAATATTACAACATGCATAACCCTTGAAGACATTATGCTAAGTGAAATAAACCAGTCACCAAAGTACAAGTACTATCTGATTCCACTTATATGAGGTACCTAGAGTAATCAAGTTCAGAGAGAGCAGAACGGTGACTATCAGAAGCTAGGTGAATCAAGGGATGGGGAGTTGTTTAAGTGGTACAAAGTTTCAGTTATGGAAGACAAGAAAAATTCTGGAAAGGAATTACTGGTGACAACTACATAACAATGTGAACATACTTAATGCCACTGAACTGTACACATAAAAAACTGTGTTATATATGTACCAGAGGCCCGGTGCATGAAATTTGTGCATGGGGGTGAGGGGGTGTGGTCCCTCAGCTGGGCCTGCGCCCTCTTGCAGTCTGGGAGCCCCCAGGGGATGTCCGACTGATGGCTCTGGGGAAAGCAGGATATCCTTAGCGCTGCCACAGAGGCGGGAGAGGTGCCCGCCACCGCCACTGTGTTCGCCAGCCATGAGCTCAGCTTCTGGCTGAGCAGTGCTCCCACTATGGGAGCGCACTGACCACCAGGAGGCAGATCCTGCGTTGAGCGTCTGCCCCCTGGTGGTCAGTGCATGTCATAGCGACCGGTCATTCTGCTGTTTGGTCGATTTGCAGATTAGCCTTTTATTCTATAGGATTTTAACACAATAAAAAAAAAAAAAATGCACACCTGAACATGGGGTTGTTGATTTCTCTGTTCATAATCATAGCTTCAAACATTGGCCCTTCACGTACAACAAACTCTATCATTCGATGTATCAGGGCGAGCAAATTCCTACAACAACAACACAGTTAAAGAAAATGGATTCAGACCTAACACTATATAAAACTACACTTGACCTAAGTTACTATATTGTGCAGAAAAAAATTATTCTGCTGACTAATACAGAATTTTATACCAAAAAAGTAACCTGGAGCATGTTAATGCCTTGTGCATTAAGAGGGAGTGGGATAGAGGGATAGGGGAAAGGGAGGGGGAGGAATGGTAAAGGGAGGGTAGAAAATCACAACACAGCTTCGTAACAATAAAGATTTAATTTTCTAAATGCCACTTAATTTCATTTTCCAAATGCAAAACATTAAATTTGAATCCAACTAATTAAAAAGCTGCAAAATATATAGTGTCAGTAATTTAGACCTTACATGTTATCACAGCCATCTAAAATCTTACACACTATCTCAGTTTTAAGAGAAAATATTCCTAAACCAAGCACTTTTTGTGGTGTTGAAATGTTATGTATGACTATTACTTATAAAAATGCAAAACTATTTAACAAACTTAAGGCCTGACTTAATAAAAAATCCATCCAACTCCTGTGCTTTTCTGGTACACATATAGCAGATGGAGTTTTTATTAAATCTGACCTTTAAATGAGGCAACATCCCTTTGGACCACACTTTAAACTAGTTCACACAATTCATGACATGTATAATTCTGCCTGTGTCTTATGAACAATGAAGCAATTATATTGCCAAAGCCTTAAATAAATGGAATCCTCTTTCCAAAATATTTCAAAATAAGGGACATGGTGCGATACCCTTCATATTTTTTCAAACAATTACTTTCTAATATTTAAGCCAAAAATAAACATGCAATTTTTTAATACATTCATTTTATGGGTTGGGCTCATAGACAGTCTTTATTTTTAAAATCTGTAGCTGGGTCCTAAAATCATATGATACCTTATTATACTCCAAACAGAATTTTAGACATTGGTTATGATGTCAGGCAAAATGACTTAACTTACTATAAGCTACTCTTGATTTCTCATTTCACCAGTCCCCCAGTATAGAATTGGCAATTAATAATTGGGAAAAGCAAAAGGATATTGGCTCTTGGTACAAAGCACACAGAAAATTACACCTTTAGCATTCCCAACTCAAATCAAGAAATTAAGTTTATGTAACTGCTAGAATATATATATAGAATAAGACAGAATTTTTTTGGCTCTAAAATGCCTGCTTCAGAGTACATGAATAGTAATATAATTTATCTCATGGTTATTATAATTATTTTCTCTCAGTTTTCAAACAAACCTACTTAAGTGGACACTAAATCTCTACATAGTGGGGGGGAAAATGAATTTTTTGACCTCTTATAGGAACCTAAAAGAGGTCAAAAAATTATATGAAAGTTTAATCTTTCCAAAGGGGAAACTATATACTTAAAAACTATTGATTCGACTTTAAATTGTTAAAACAAAAAGCATTATTTAATTTTAAATCTAAATATTTTTTTCTTTCACGGAAGTATTAATTGCTCTGCAAATTTGCAGTTCTTGATGTCTAAATGAAAATGAACATATTCTCAGATCTATGGTTAGTGCAAAGTTATGATTCAGTTCCAAAACTCCTACTGCTATGTGTCAAATTACAATAAAGGGAAATCTTATGTATCACAATATATAAAGTCACTTTCTAGGTGGATAAATGCTATACATTCAGAAACTTGTATGAATTAAGTCAAAAGTAACTTATTTTGTTTACAAAGAAGCTGAGCCACATGTAAAGCTACTACTCAACATATGCTTTTTGAATGCTACAAAATACTTTCCTGTGAATGATTTATCAGTGGAAGAAAACACCCACTTATAGTTTTAAATAGGCTTGTAACTGATAAAATCTATTTTTAGAAAATTTAAAGTTTAAAAATGTTGCATATAATTATTTAAAATCAGAATCTGACAATTAGTTATTGCTAACTTGAATCCAACATTATTAAGTAACTGTAATCACACTCTTTTTCCTAAAGATTGTGTTTCTTATTTTAAAAAGGGTGACTTTTCTATCAGAATGAAACAGTGTAGTACAAAAAGGTGATATATTTTAAGTCTACTATTTTATTTTAAAATGGTAATTATCTTATTCTGGGCAATAACAACAACAAAAAAAAAAACACAAAAAAAATGTTTCTCAGTTATAATAAAACCACATTTATTGGAGTCGATCGTACCAATGTCTGGTCAAAAACTGTATACTTTCCCAATCCATCCCATGATGTTTTCCTGGTCCCCCGCTGCCGCAGACAGTTCAGCTGGTGTTGCTCACCAAGGCCAATGTCAAAGAGAATTTGGTATTCTTTTGTGTTCATTTATTATTCAACCAGTGTTGTGTTCCTGTGTTTGGGAAAAGGCTTAACTTGACTGAGCAAGAGCATACCTACAGCATGAATTCTTCTGCTTCAACATTATGTTGAAAAGAAAAAAATAAAATAAAATAAAAGAATTCCAAAAAACTATATTATCATTTTAAAAGTTTCTAATAGGTTTAGTGTTCATGAAAATAATAGGAATTCCTTCTTAAATTCAATCAGAAAAAAACAAAGCTATGTCTTCAATAAGAAAACTCAAACTAACATTGCATATTAAACACAGAAACAAAGAAAAATAACAGATTGGGTCAAACTAGAAAGTTATCTAAGATTTAAGATACATTTAAAACCTTTATTTTCCCATCACAATAATCTAATGCGATTAAACTAGCAATACCAGATCAAATCTATTAAACATATTCTAACTACCAAAACTATAAAATTCCCTACCAATGGTAACAATAAAAGCAAAATAGATAATGGCATAAAACTGCAAGTATATTTGTTAGTTAAATTTCACATATCCCCCCCCAAAAATACTGGGAAGGAACCATTGCTCAGTCAAGATATCACCTTTTCCTCAACACCATTTTTTCTTTTAATTCAGAAGGGGATATTGTCTATATTTAGATCAGTAATAATAAAGAAAAACATGTACCTTTCTGTTGGGATAACCACTTTGACTATGGCTTGCGACAGAGTCTGTATATGAAGTCACATCAGATAATAAACATAGAATATGTGAGTATTGTTAACAAATAACAAGCAAAAATATACATATGCAATGAAAATACTACACATCTAATCACAAGTTTTGCAGGCAATCACTGCTTTTGAAGTAATTATACACTAAGCAATTACATAAAATCAAATGGATGTGTCCAATGAACAATAATGTTCACCAAATGCAAAGAATCAGAACATTCCTGCCAGAATGAACATCAATGCACTGAATTAGGTACTACACTGAGAATTATCAGATAAAGATTTTAATTTGTGAAATAATTAACTGTTTGCTTCTCACCATAATATAGTTTGCTACTTTGTTCCCAAGCCTTTAAAACCAGCCCTGTCATTTTAAGTTCCCAAGCCTTTAAAACCAGCCAGTTGCAATTAACTCATAATGCAACCAACAAATTCTTATAACTTGAAATTAAGTTGGTTTTATGTTTAATTAAAAAAAATACTCACCCTTTCTTTTACTAGAGTAGTTAATGTTTTTAAAAATCACATATGTTCTTAAATATTCTAATACTTCATATCTTGAGAACTTTGTTAGCTAGCTGACATCCAAACAGTTTAGCTATTTAGGAGGTATTTTAACTGAAAAGTCACTTAACTAAATACAAAGTATCACTTTCTTAGAACAAAGTAAATTTAGATATTGTACTTAAGCAAACCAGGATACAAGAATGGACAAATGAGGAAATGGGGCGAGCTGGACTTAATAAGTGGTCAAAAAGAATGGTAGCCACAATAAAAATAGGACCTAGTATTTCAAACAGGGTATCCATGGGCTAAGGCAGGGAAGACAAATCTACTTAAGAGTTGCCAAACAGAATTACACATTTTCTATATAATTGTTGAAAAGAAATACTACCACAGATTTAGTATTTACAAATATATGCGCCCTATGTACATTTTTAAAATTACCTTCTCAAAATCCTCCTTGTTTTTAGGTGGTGGTAACATGGGAGCATTGGGATTTTTTAACCGCTCTCTAGGCTGCGCATTAAAAGGCAGTCCTGATGGAGGTGGGGGAAGCGTATGTTCCATCATAGAAGGCGGAATGTATATTGGATGTGGAGGAATAGGCACAGCTTTACCCCAACCTAACTTCATTTCAAAAGACATAATCATCTTTCCTACAAGAAAAAAAAGAAAGATCACCTTGGTAATAACTAGCAAAAGAAAATAAAAGATTTCAGGGATTTGAATTAATTTTTAACCTTTCCATTTCTGGTCCATTTATTTCTCCAAAATCTTTATATCATATTTTCCAGAACCAAAAGAAAAGGTCTGAATTCTTATAAATGAACAATAAAAACCTTCTTACCATTTAAATTTTTTAAAGCTCTTTCAGCATCTCTTCTATTCATAAAGGCCACAAAGCCACAATTTCTCTCTCTTGCTCTTTCTTCATCAGTTCTAGGCCACATAATTTTCACACTCGCTAATGGTCCAAATCTTCCAAATTCTTGGCACAGCATTTCTTCATTCATCTATTCAAAGGCATAAGAGTTTTTTGAATGCCAAAAAGAAAGGGAAGAAAGAATTCTACACAACAGAAAGCAAAGTAGTTTTTGCAAAATGAAAAGAGATATTAATGCTATGTTTTTCTATTCAAGTACTAGGAGCTCTATACAAATAAAATCCTGCCCTCATGGGGAATTCCCAAATCTTTTCATACCAGACATTCACTATTTTATGTAAACAAGTAGTCTGGGTGAAGAGGCTGAGTGGCTGGAAAAATCCAAAGCACATCTCTACTTCCCCTCTTTCTCCTTTGGAGATCTTGCATCTAAAATAAATCTGTTTAGGCATTGCTGAATGATTTCTCAGGCCACAGAAATTACCACATTTAGGTTAAGGATTTTTTTTGTTGGCAATGAAAGAAGAAGAAAAAAAGGATCTAATCACATTTTCTTTTTCCAGCATCCAGCTACCAGTGTAATCAAGAACAGAGAAAATGATAAATATGCAATGGGTCCTGGAAGATATGTCATTTTTTAAAAAGGGTATTATTTATATATCATTACATTCCCCATAATATAATTAACCTGATGTGGAAAAAAGAATCCTATCCTATATGACAAAATGGCAATATGCAAATTGACCCTCACACCCTCACAAGATGGCCACCCCACATCATCATAAGATGGCTGCCCCCATGTTGTCACAAGATGGCCGGCAGGGGAGCAGTTAGGTGTCAGTCAGGCCGGCAGGGGAGCGGTTAGGGGGTCATCAGGCTGGCAGGCAGAAGCAGTTAGGGGCAATCAGGCAGGCAGGCAGGTGAGCGGTTAGGAGCCAGCAGTCCCGGATTGTGAGAGGGATCCCAGATTGGAGAAGGTGCAGGCTGGGCTGAGAGACATCCCCCTCCACCCCACCCCCAGTGCACGAATTTCGTGTACCAGGCCTCTAGTTAACATATAAAAGACAAAAAATACAAATATGCATCAGGAAGATATCGTCCACCACTGGCCATATTGCCATGTGATAAATAATGAAATCAGCACCTAGTAAAACAGTTCAAATTCATATAGTGTAATTATAGAAAGAGGAAACAAGCCCTTAATAAGAAGAGCAAGACAATTCAGCCCATACTAGCAAGATAACTTTAAAGACTCTAGTTCTATAAAATTTGCTTACATCAGATTCTTGACTTTATTTTTTTTTACTGACTGACAAAGCAGTTTTTTTCAAAAAAGTATAAAAGCATATAAACCAACATTCATTGTACTTTTCTAATATTACCTGTGGATTAATGTTTCCAAGGTATAAATTAGTAGTGCTTGGATCTCCCACATCATGTGACCCAGGTGCATAATCATCAAGAACTAAGCAAAGAGCCAAAAAAATAAAATAAAAATTATAACCTGAAAAATACAAAGTCTAGACAATTTCTATTAATTAAAAGAGCAAAAAACTGTATTACCACCAGATGATCTATTTCTTCTTGAAGGCGCATCCACTTTAAAAAAAAAAAAAAAAATTCTTAGTTTTCAGAATAATTAATCACAAACATAAACATTAAAATAAATGTCACTTACTGGAACGCCGCTGACCATCAGAATCTGACTGAGGAGGCTCAAATCGACTTAACCTGCCTTTTGTTTTATGTCTCTCATCACGCTCTTCTTGAATTCTGTTGAAAATATTTACAATCACTAATAATGAGCCAACATTTTTTTGTTCACATTTAATAAAAACACAACTTATACAGATATTACCTTCAGATAAGATTAGAGTCCCTCAGCTATAACAGAGTTATGAGAAAATTTCTGATATATCATATAATCAATGAACTACAAAGCCCACTTTGAAGGTGAGGAAGAAATTCAACATTAAAACCAAGAATTTGTCTTTTCTCGGCTAAGTTTGACCATTCCTTATCCCCACACTTCAGTAACTTTTGTTTCCACTGCAAACAGGACTCCGGCCATTAATTAATTTAATTGCATCCACATAATGCAAGCAACCCAAATGCTGGATGACATGGTAATACATTTCAAACATACTCCACATACCACTATAATATCTAAAAAAACCTCATGATAAACCAGTTAGTAGTAGTTAAGTAATATGCTCCATTCTTCATACCTGCCATCTGTAGGTATCAGCTCAGTATACCTCTGATAGCCATTCTCAACACTAGTAAACTTACTGTTTCAATTCTTCTTTGAAGAGTTCCAAATTGCTTTTTTTCTTTTCTTTCTCCCCTTTCTTCAGTGGCTATGAAGGATATGATAAGTTATACTTCAAACAAAAGAAGGTTAAATAAAACCAATGGCTCAATAATCATTTTAAATAATTTTTATTTTAGTGCGAATTATGTTTTAATTGTTTATATTAGAATGAATGCTTCTCTTATCAGTTTCCCTTTCTGTTCTCTCAAACTAAATATTTAACACTTTTAAAAACAAACAGGTTGGTAATTGTGGGGGGAGGAGGATAAAAGGCAGTGGGAAGAGGGTATAGATATGATAAATAGTGATAAAAAAAATTAAATTAAACTTAAAATATAAATAAAAATAACTAAACAAAATGACAACTATCAGTCTTAAAGTAAAGAAGCCACTAACATTAACCCCCAAAAGCCTGCAATAATCAAGCCTGAGTATTGTTGGAAGAAGTAGGGCAAAAAAAATTTAGTAAGTTCTTTTATTTTTAATTCATTGATTGGGGGGAGGGGGGAAGAGGTATGTTGTTCCACTTATTTATGCATTCACATTCATTGGTTGATTTTTTAATGTGTCCTGACTGGGGGGCAAGGGGGCTGGGGATGGGGGACTAGAACCCACAACCTTGGGGTATTACAATAAGGCTCTAACCAACTGAGATACGGGGGTGGGGCAAAAGTAACTGAACTTCCAAGAACAAAACTACCAAATATATGTACTCTTCAAAACAATTACCTTGGGATGATATGAATTACTAAAAACAATCATTAATATCTTTAGGCCTTCTTTTAAAAAATTAGTTTTAACAGATGACATGATATTATATATAGAAAACCCTAAGACTCCACCAAAAAACTACTAGATTTAATAAATGAATTTGGCAATGTAGCAGGATACAAAATCAACACCCAAAAATTGATGGTTTTTTTATATACTAATAATGAATTCTCAGAAAGAGAAATTTAAGAAACAATCCCATTTACCATTGCAACAAAAAAATTAAGATACTTAGAAATAAACTAAAACAAGGAGGCAAAAGACCTATACTCAGAAAACTATAGTTGAAAAAAGAGATAGAAGATATAAACAAGTGGAATAATATACTGTGTTCATGGATTGGTAAAACTAACATCATTAAAATGTCTATACTACCCAAGGCAATCTACAGATTCAATGCAATCCCTATTAAAATACCAATGGCATATTTCACAGACCTAGAACAAATACTCCAAAAATTTATATGGAATCAAAAAAGAGCCCGAATAGCTGCAGCAATTTTGAGAAAGAAAAAAAAGTTGGAGAATCAAAATACCAGATTTCAAGTTATATTATAAACCCACTGTAATCAAAGCAGCCTGGTACTGACACAAGTACAGATATATAAACCAATGGAATAGAACAGAGAACCCCGAAATTGACCCAAGCCACTACACTCAATATTTGACAAAGGAAGCAAGAGCATACAATGAAGTCAAGACAGTCTCTTCAATAAATGGTATTGGGAAAATTGGACAGATACATGCAAAAAAATGAAACTAGACCACCAACTTACACCATACACAATAAACTCAAATGGATAAAAGATTTAAATGTAAGTCAGGAAACCATAAAAATCCTAGAAGAAATCATAGGCCGCAAAATCTCAGAGATTTCTTACAACAATATGTTTACAGATACATCTCTTAAGCTAAAGGAAACTAAGGAGAAAATAAACAAATGGGACTACATCAAATTGAAAAGCTTCTGCAAAGCAAATGAAACCATCAACAAAACGAAAAGAGAGCCCATTGTAAGGAAGAACATATTTGGCAATGATTCATCTCATAAAGGGTTAATATCCAAAATATATAAGGAACTCATACAACTTAATGGAAGACAAAAAATCCAATTAAAAAAATGGACAAAGGACCTAAACAGACACTTCTCCAAAAAGGACATATAGATGGCCAGGAGACACATGAAAAAATGCTTAAAGTCACTAATCATCCCAGAGATGCAAATCACGACAATGAGGTATCACCTCACACCTGTCAGAATAGCTACCATCAACAAATCAACAAATGACAAGTGCTGGTGAGGATGTAGAGAAAAGGGAACCCTAGTACACTGCTGGTGGAAATGCAGACTGGTGCAACCATTATGGAAAACAGTATAGAGTTTCCTCAGAAAATTAAATATGGAACTTCCATTTGACCCAGTGATCCTACTTATAGGAATATATCCTAAGAAACCCAAAGCACCAATCAGAAAGAATGTATGCATCCCTATATTCATAGCAGCATAATTTACAATAGCTAAGATCTGGAAAAAGCTCAAGTGCCCATCAGTAGATGAGTGGATAAAAAAGCTGTAGTACATTTATACCATGGAATGCTATGCAGCTGTAAAAAAATAATATCTTACCCTTTGAGATAGCAGGGAGGGACCTAGAAAGTATCATGCTAAGTGAAATAAGTCAGTCAGAGAAAGACAAGTATCACATGATCACACTCATATGTGGAATCTAAGTAACAAAATAAACTGCTGAACAAAGTGGGTCTAGAGACAAAGAATCATGGAACAGAGTGTGGAATCTTGGAGGGAAGGTGGGGGAGGGTGGGTGGTTGGATGGTAATCTACTAAAGACCTTGTATTTTTATATGCATAACCCATGGACACAGACAATAGGGTGCTGAAGGCCTGGAGCTGGTGGGCTCGAGGGAATCAATGGGGGGAAAGGGGGACATATGTAATATTTTCAACAATAAAGAATTACTTAAAAAAATATGTGTGTGTGTGTGTGTGTGTGTATTTTTAAGTTGCATGTAATAGTCCTAAAATTTATTTTCACAAGTGCTTTTAGAATAACCTTTTATAAGAGCCAAAATAATTCAAAGGAGGATAGTCTTTTTAACAAATGGTACTAGAACAACTGAATATGCACATGCAAAAAAGAATGAAGTTGGAATTCTGCACAGGATACAGGGGTGAACAAAAGTAGGTGTATAGTTGTAATACAATAATCCTATTTAATAAAGATGGAATATGCAAATTAACCATCAATCTGTGACAAAGATGGCGGCGCCCACAGCCAATAAGGAGGGAATATGCAAACTGATGCAACAGAGATGGAGGTGGATGAGCCGGGACGCTTGTGTTGTTGCCATGGCGACGACGCAGGCGTTCCACCCGACCCCGGACACCTCCTATGAGGAGAGGTGTGGGGGGTGGAGGGAGCTACAGGAGGGTGGCAGGGCCGGAGTGAAGGCCCGGGTGCCAGTAGCCAGGAGAATGAAGGCCTATTCTTGCACGAATCTTCGTGTATCAGGCCTCTAGTTAATAAATAATAATACAAGAATAAGCTTGTTTCATGTACACACAACTCTAAACCACCACTGTATAAAAAATTTCACTCAATGGTTCACACACCTAAATATAGGAGCTAAAACTATAAAATTTTTAGAAAAATACACAGGAGTGAATCTTTATGACCGTGGGCAACAAGTTTTTAGACAAGAAACCAAAAACACAAATGACAAAAGAAAAAAACTGATAGACTGAACTTCAAATAAATTAAACTTTTATGCCTCAAAGGACAGTATCAAGAATGTGCAAAAATAACCCACAGAATGGGAGAAAACATTTCTAAATCATATAGCTGATACAAAACTTGACTCCAAAAGGTGTATAATATTCTAAAAACCGAACAACAGGTGCTATTCTAATTTATTCTCTCTCATCTAGGAAGGAAGATTAAGGTCCAAAACTCAACATCTAGTCCCAAAAGAATTAAAAAGAAACCAAAGTCCTGCTTACAGTGGAAGTACTAAAAGTACCATTGACAGTGTCATCTCAACATAAGTAATCACTTATTTAAGAAGGACTTACGGGTTTTTTGGTTTCTATCACAAGAAGAGATGGTGGTCTTTCATTGGATGACTGATTTGGAGGGTTTTTTTGATCTGCAAATCTTGAAGATGGCTTATAGATTTTGCCTCTTTTTTCATCTGTTTCATGTTCTTCTGAAATTTAAAACACTAACTTTCAATATTAATTTCATATTATTTGAATTGTTTATTTGCTATTTGTATTTAAAAATAAAAATAAAATGCTTTTAGTATTGATACATAGTCTTAAAAATACTAATTTAATAAATTTATAGTAAAACTGAAATATATTAATGTTTTTGCAGAGTGTTCTGCTGTCTTAAAATTTGGAAGGTAGTAAATATTTTTAAAATTTATCTGGCTCCAATTCTCATTAACCCACATTTGGCCACTTATTTTGATAATTAATATCACCACTAGAGGGTGCTGATAAAAAGGAAACATTAAATTCAAAAGCAACCAAACTTCTCTCATAATTATCTTGGTCAGTCAACCAAGGCTTTTGGGTTTACACAAGGGCTATAATATTCATGCTTACCTTTAGCTGCATTAACAACACCTCCGCGCACAAATGTCTTCACTTTATTACCATCACTTCCTTCAAAAGCAGCAAGAAATTCCTCATAAATCTCAGCAGCAGCCTTTTCATCCTCCTAAATACACATGAATACCTTAATATTGCCTAATACAAAAATTATTATTGTACGTAGGCTTAAACTCAATAGGAATAATGTAAACAAAACCTCTCCCTTTGCTGGGGAAAGTAGGTTAAGTAGTCTTAATAGGTAAAATAAGACATAGATGTTACATATTAATTAACACTGAAACTAAGAAAGAGGCTTTGCTCTTCTACTGGTACAGTGGAACCTGTTTTCAAACATAATTCATTCCAAAAGATTAAGAAGTGATTTGTTAGGAAATCGAATCATTCTTTCCCATTAGCAATAATGTAAATTGAATTAATCAGTTCCAGACCCTCAAATTATTCCATTTTAACCTTTCTCATACACGGTATATGTCTTATACTGTGTAATCTACAAATAAATAATTCCTTTCTTAAATTTATCAACCCACCCCCTATTAGCCTTAAACAAAATTTTCATATATGGCTGCTACCTGCTTTTCATTTATCCATTCAACAGTTTTTCTACCTATTCAATAGCCTGTGATAGTTGTTTTGTGAGCACTTTCACACCCTTAGCACTCTAGATGGTGTCATCGTGTTTTAAAATTGTGCTAATCATCCACTGATTTGGCCAGCAACAAAAGCATTCTTCCCTTTGTTGCCTGAGGGAAGCTTTTTGTTATGCTGAGGTTATCAGCCAGAAAGGGTTTGTCAGGTGGAAAACTGAAGTTTTGGTCCACATCTTTTCTGTGAACAACTAGGTTGAGAACTGAATTCTTCTAGATGGGAGACATTCAAAAAACGAGGTTTGACTATAATTGGTAGAACCACAAAGGACCCACTAAGTAAATTTGTTTAGAGACAATTCTAGGGTCAAATTATATGACAATTGACTTCAGAAAATATATTATTCTATTAATGTTTATACTGTTTCCAAGGCACACTGATTTAATTCAGTGAATACAAATACAAAGATTTCCTTTCCAAACCACTGAAGACATAAATATTAGAAATTGAAGCAGCATTATATCCAGACAGTTGGCATTAAAAAAAAAACAAACAAAAAAAAAACTCAGAATCTTGACAATTTCCATTATAATAACTACTAGAGGCCCGGTGCACAAAAATTTGTGCACTCGGGGGTGAGGGGGGTATCCTCAGCCCGGCCTGTGCCCTCTCGCAGTTTGGGACCCCTCGGGAGATAACGACCTGCTGGCTTAGGCCTGCTCCCGGGTGGCAGAGGGCAGGCCCAATCCCTAGGTGCAGCCCCTGGTCGGGCTCAGAGCAGGGCCGATTGGGGAGTTGGGCCGCCACCCCGTCATGCACAGAGCAGGGCAGACAGGGAGGTTGCGATGCCACCCTCAGTCACACTAAGGGTAGGGCCAAATTAGGGGTTGGGGAAACACCCCGTCACACTCAAGGCAGGGTCAATGGGGAGGTTGCGGCACCACCCCTGTCATGCACAGAGCAGGGCCAATCAGGGGGTTGGGGCGCTGCCCCCTGTCATGCACAGAGCAGGGCCCATCAGGGGGTTGGGGCTCTGTACCCTGTCATGCACAGAGCAGGGCCCATCAGGGGGTTGGGGAGCTCCTCCCTGTCACGCACAGAGCGGGCCCATCAGGGGTTGAGGAGCTCCCCCGTCACTCACAGAGTAGGGCTGATACGGGAGTTGGGGCGCCGGCCTCTATCACCCACAGAGCAGGGCCGATCAGGGGGTTGGGGCGCTGCCATTCTCACACTCAGGGAAGGGCCGATGGGGAGGTTATGGCTCTACCCTGTCACACACAGAGCAGGGCCCATGGGGGGTGGAGGGGGTTAGGGTGCCCCACCCTGTCACACACAGAGCCGCAGGGCGATCAGGGGGTTTGGGCGCTGCCCCGTCACGCTGATCCCAGTGCCGGAGGCCTCTCGGCTCCGCTGATCCCGGTGCTGGGAGGCATATTACCCTTTTACTATATAGGATAGAGGACTGGTGCACAGGTGGAGGCTGGCTGGTTTGCCCTGAAGGGTGTCCTGGATCAGGGGGGGGTCCCCACTGGGATGCCTGGCCAGCCTGGGTGAGGGGCTGAGGGCTGTTTTCAGGCTGCTCCCAACTGCTCCTTTTTTTTCTTTTTTTTTATTCTGGGCCAGCTTTAGCTCTGAGGCTTGGCTCCAGCTCTGAGGACTCTGCTGCTGAAAGCAGGTATCTGGTTTGTTTGGGTTCTATAATCGAAACACTGTATCAACTCCAGCTCTGAGATCCCGGTGGGCTGAAAGCAGGTTTCTGGGGTTTTGTTTAGCTTCTATATTTGTAACAATGTTTCAAACTGCAAGCTCAGAGGCCAGCAATGCAGGCGGGGAACGTTGGAGTCCTCCGTCACTGAAGCAAGCAAGCCTCATGTTAGCTTCAAGCTGCCTGGCTGCCGGCCGCCATCTTGGCTGGCAGTTAATTTGCATATCGCCCTGATTAGCCAATAGGAATGGTAGTGGATGTACGGCTAATTACCATGTTTCTCTTTTATTAGATAGGATGCTAAATGCTCTCCAAAATGTATGGATAGAAAGGCCACTGGAACAGAATAGAAAGTAGAGAAATAAATCCAACAGCATGTGAAAATTTAGTATTCAATAAAAGTGGCATCTCAAATTAGCAAAGAAGAGATGGACTTTTCAATGAATGATGGTGGGGGCTACCTTGATAGCTATTTTAAAAGAGATAAAAATGAACCAATTATTCACATTATACACAGATTTAATTTTAAAAAAATAAAATCATGTAAGTATTAGGAAAAAAATCAGGAAATTCCTTTATAAGCTGGGAGTGGAAAAAACTTGACTTAAGAGAAAAAAAAAAGAGAACCCTAAAGGAAGGACCCACAAATCTGATTACATAATAAGTACTTTATACATGAGAAAACACCGGAAGCAAAATAAAAAGACAATCGATGAACTGGGACAAAACACTCCACCTTGTATTGTAGACCAAGTGTTAATATACATAATATACAAGGTTTCTAAAAATATAGGTAACCTACTAACTTACAGAAAGATTAGTTTAATTAGGAGCAGACAGTCACAGAAACAAACACAAGAAAAGTTGTTCAACTTTATTTATTTATAACAGAAATGCAAATTTAAAGCTATACTGAGATACTATTTTCACCTAGCAGGTTGGCAAAACTTCTTTGATAACATCCTTTGTTGATAGGCTATGAGGAAACTACCTCTCAGTAATTGCTGACAGGAAAGCAAATTGGCTCTGCCCTTAGAGAAAGCAATTTGACAATATTTAGTAGTGAGCTACATTTATGTGTTTACCATCAACCCAGTAATGTCACTTACAGGAATATGTCCCAATGATACACTAGCAAAGAAAAAACCATATGCATATTAACTATCCATAGCAGCACTATCTGAAATGGCAAAAGACCGAAACAAATAGGATTTTCATTGAATAAACTATTGCATATCTACACATATACTTAAAAAAAAAAGAAATATCTCAATATACTTCTAGTAATCTCTGAGACATAATGTTAAGTGAAAAAACGCATGATGAAAAAACTATATGCTACTGTGAACCTAAGAAAGAGGAGTGGGGTACAATATAGAAATACACACTTGCGTACAGAATAGACCAGAAAATAATCAAAATTGTTACAATAGTAGAGAGAAAACAGTGGAAGAGATAGGGATAGAAGCCGGACTCCTCTGAATAGACCTTGTGTCATAGACTTGAATTGGAGGTGGCAGCTAAGAAACCCTGGCGGTCAAAAATCTCTGAAAAACATATCTCTACTGCCCATACACTTACTGTCCCTTTGGATACATTCATTTCCAAGGATCACTCAAAATACATTTTAAACATTACCTTTTTCTTCAATTCTTCTTGCTCCTTCTTACTTAAAGTTCGCTTAGCTGTACTCATTTTTCCAATACTGAATGCTTTAAGTTTGTTTTCTAGAAGAGGCTATGAAAAGAAATAAAAAGCATACCTTTACATAGTCTTAATACTATCTATAACTTAATACACTTAAACTGATAACCAAATCTTCAGAACAGACAACTTAAAAAATTCATTGTAAAGAAAAGTTGAGAGTACCCTAAGCATCAGGGTACCTACCTATCTTAAAGCTTAAATCTGATGTAAGTATTCATTACCTTCAGCTAGCAAAGAATAGCTTCATTTGTTAGCTGAAGGTTACCAACATATAAAAGGTAAAAAAGGCCTCGAACTCATTCAACTTGCTTGTTGGCAGCAAGAATAAAAAAGCAATTGAGGAGGGAAAGCACAGAAGTTTCCCAGCAAAAGCAGCGGTATAGAAAATAGACATTTCAAATAGAGAGAAAGAGGCATACATTTTCATGGTTCAGAAGCAGAAGTCTTATAACCAACAGTTCAAGTACCACAAATTGCATCACTTCCTTGTATAACTCAGTAAATTACCTCATTCCTTTTTCCCCCCAATGCCTTTCTATTTTCTTTCTTTTTTTTTTTTTCCCACTTACAGTTTACATTCAACATTATTTTGTACTAGAGGCAAGTACACTGGTGGGGTCCCTTGGACTGACCTGCAGGGATTGAGCTGAAACTGGCTCTCTGACATCACCCAAGGGGTCCCCGATTGCGAGAGGGTGGTTCTCGGGTGATGCACCCTGGAATCAGGCTCCCTCCTCTCTGTTTCCGGTGCATCACCGGAGAACTGCAGCTGCCAAGTCACTGCAGCTCGGCAGCTCCTGTGTTGAGCATCTGCCCCCTGGTGGTCAGTGTGCACCATAGCTACCAGTCAGACAGTTGGATGGTCACTTAGGCTTTTATATATAAAGATTAGTTTGAGGTACTTTACAAAGTGTTCCCCTCCCCTCATATTTTTAGTACCCACCTAACACCATACATCATTATTACAGTACTAGAGGCCCAATGCACAAAATTTGTGCAAGAGTAGGCCTTCCTTCCTCCTGCTGCCAGCACCGGCTTCCCTCTGGCATCCGGAACCCTGGACCTGGGCTTCCCTCCAGCTGCTGGTAGGCACCCGGGACCTGGGATTCCCTCGAAGCCCTGACTTCATCAGTAAGGACATCCAATCTAATTAGCATATTACACTTTTACTAGAGGCCCGGTGCACAAAAATTTGTGCACTCAGGTGGGTCCCTCAGCCCGGCCTGTGCCCTCTCGCAATCTGGGGCCCCCTTGGGGCCCCTTCCCCTGGCTGCTGGCACATTTTCCTCCAGCGCCCAGAACCCAGGCCTTCGCTCTTCGCCAGGAGAGGCCCGCGCGGTGGGTGAGGGGCTTAGCTCTTTTAAAAATACTTCTGAATGTTTGGTAAATAACCCTGTAGGAATCTACTTTCTGAAACATGCTGGTTGTTAAGGGCTGATTTGGGTAATCAACAAAATGTGTGTTAAAATCTTAATCCCCAGAACATCAGAATGTACCTGCATATGGAGATAAGATCTTTAAAGAGGGGATTACATTAAATTGAGGCAGTTCCAGTGTGACTCTTAGCCCATCTCACTGAAGTCCTTATAAGAAGAGGAATGTTGGGGTCCAGCCCCAGCAGGTCCAGAGGTTCCCAAAGATGTGGACGGAATTGGCGAAGAAGGAATGACACAGAGGCAATGTTCAGGTAATCATCATAGCCAGGTTCTCTTTTTATTGTCCTGTTACATCTATATTTATACTATTTGATCCTATAAGCATGCCTCTATAAGCTTTTTTTTTTCTTTTTTGCAGAGGAGAGCATGGGATCTGTTTATTGGGGTGTCAGTCAAAGGGGGAGCTGGCTAGGGTGGGGTAGGGCAGCAGCTTGTCTGGCCCCCAAGAAACCCAACTTGAGTCCAGAGCCTTGACCACTTTGAAGCCAAAGTCTTTCTCCACCTTTATCTGCATGGGGGCCAGCTCCGGAGTCTCCCGCCCGGCACCCTTCCCGTGGTACTCGCCGCCTCTTCCAACCGTTGGGCCCCTCACCAGGGGCCGGGCTGCTGGCTTCTGCAGGCGCTGGTGCCCTCCTGGGCAGGGACAGCCCCTCTTTTCTCCGGAGGCTTGTTCTCGGCATTGCCTAGGGTGGGGGCATCTGTGCCCTGGCTGCCCTCGTCCTCCAGTAAGATGGTAAACTGGCTGGCCCAGGAGTCATCGCCGTAGGAGTCCAGCACCCTCATGAGGAACCTCCGCTCCTGCTGGAGTCTCCGTGTTATTCTCTATATCTGATGGAGCCTGTTCAGGACCCGCTCGTTGACCTGCTCAATCTCCCTGCAGCACCGACCCAGCACCTGGTACTTCCTGTGATTGAGTTCCCCTTGGCACCATGGCCGCTGGCCTTGGGCTGCCTCCTCCTCTTCATCTCGCTCTTGGAGGCTGGAGCTGCCCAGACCCCCAGACACGAACTCCACTTCGGTCTTAAGCTCGCTCTCCAGGATGTGACCACCGAACAGCGGAGGCAGCGCCAGCTCCGAGCAGGGAGATGCTGAGAACTCAAAGCCCACAGCTGCCACGGACCCCTCTCTCTGCTCCAACTCCATTTCTCCCTGGCTCCCGGCAGAACTTCCAACCTTGCAAGCCTCTTAAAGTGCAAAACGACTCGCCCCATCCGATTTCATGGCCAGGCACACAGGCCCCGGCCGCTAAGCCTCCTGGGAGTTGTAGTTCTCTATTTCCCGCTCACTTTCCTCGCTCCACCCCCACCTCGAGTCCCCGCTGAAAGGCCCTGCTTGCTGGTCTAACGCCACTGGCCAGGCATCTGAGTCACCTCCATCATTATTCCTGTCCCGACACTGTGCAGTCTGACCATGGAGACTCTCCGCTTGGGAGGCCCCTGGGTCTCCTTCTGGGGCTGGGGATGCGCCACTGCCTGGGCACTGGATCACGTGCCCCAGTGGCGACACAGGCCCGGCCCCTGGGTCTCCTTCTGGGGCCTGGCTGCGCCGCTGCCCAGGCTCCAGATCGCATTCCCCAGCCCCTGGGTCTCCTTCTGGGGCCTGGCTGCGTCGCCCCCAAGACCGGATCGCGTGCCCCAGCCCCTGGATCTCCTTCTGTGGCGGAGGCTGTGTCACCGCCTGGGCACCGCATCGCGTGCCCCGGTGGCGGCGACACAGCCCTGGCCCCTGGCGTGCCCCGGCGGCAACACAGCCCCAGCCCCTGGGTCTCCTTCTGAGGCCTGGCTGTGTCACCCCGGGACCGGATAGCATCCCCAGGCAGGGATGCAGCCTGGCCTCTGGACCCGCCTCTGGGTGTTCTCCGATCACTGGTGATCAGTGATCTGAGAAGCCCGGCGGGGGCAGGGAAGAGGTGGACATCCCCTCTTCCCTGCCCCACCCAGCTTCTCCGATTACTGGCCCAGGGCTGGTAAAGGCGGCCTGGCTTCTCTGATCACAAAGGCGGCCCAGTTCTCCAGCTCTGGCTGCCACCTAGGTTCCGACACCGGCAGGCGGCTTCTTCCGTCCTTCCCCTTTCGCCTCCCATCATTGTGCCTACCTATGCAAACTAATCGCCATCTTTCTTGGCAGTTAATTTGCATATCACCCTAATTAGCCAATGGGAAGCGTATCAGAGGTATGGTTAATTACCATGTTTGTCTATTATTAGATAGGATTATTATAGATTATTGACTATATTTCCTATGCTGTACTTTACATTCCCATTATTATATTTTAACTACCAATTTGTACTTCTAAACCAGTGGTCGGCAAACTGCGGCTCGTGAGCCACATGTGGCTCTTTGGCCCCTTGAGTGTGGCTCTTCCACAAAATACCACGTGCGAGCGTGCATGTACAGTGCGATTGAAACTTCATGGCCCATGCACATTAGTCAGTATTTTGTGGAAGAGCCACACTCAAGGGGCCAAAGAGCCACATGTGGCTCGCGAGCTGCAGTTTGCCGACCACTGTTCTAAACCCCTTCACCTTTTTCACCCAGTTAAACCCTCCTCCCCTCTGACAAGCATCAGTCTGTTCTGTTACCTATGAGTCTATTTTAATTTTGCTTATTAATTTATTCTGTTCTTTAGATTTCACATATAAGTGCATATGGTATTTGTCTTTCTCTGACTGACTTATTTAGCTTAGCATAATATCCTCTAGGTCAGTGGTCAGCAAACTGCGGCTCGCGAGCCACATGCAGCTCTTTGGCCCCTTGAGTGTGGCTCTTCCACAAAATACCGACTTCTGCGCATGGGCCACAAAGTTTCAATCGCACTGTACATGCGCACCCGCACGTGGTATTTTGTGGAAGAGCCACACTCAAGGGGCCAAAGAGCCGCAAGTGGCTCGCGAGCCACAGTTTGCCGGCCACTGCTCTAGGTTCATCCACACTGTCACAAATGATAAAATTTCATTCTTTTTTATGGATGAGTAATATTCCCTTGTTTATATGTACTACTAATTTTTCTCCACTCATCTACGGAGGGACACCTGAAAGCACCTCATCAACAATAGTAATATTTATGAACATAATTTCATTTTCTTTGCTGGTAATATATCATAAACAGTATTTCAGGTTCCTGCACAAGTAAACATTCATCAATTACTTTTGAATGTGAGAAAATAGTATTTCCTTCTGAAATATGGTTTGAATAAATTATAGACCTTTAGTTGTTCAGTTATTAATTTGAATGTTAGCTTATGATTCATAACTTAAGACAAATGTTTATAACTGAAAATATTTATCTGCCATTAAATCTGAAGGTTTCTCTAGCACCTACTAAAATGAGAAGTTAACCAACTGCAAAATTAGACTTTATCAATCCCAGTTAAAAAGGCTTGCCCTTGCAATATGCAAAATGAAAGAGTAATATTACTACAAACTATTTTAAAGTTACATTAAATTCCTTTAAAAAAAATAAATAAATAAAGCAGCTTATAACCCAAAAGTCAATATTGGATTTCAGAACAGATTCAAAATAATTTTTTCTCTGCAATAGGAAGAAAAATGTTTTGCCATCATTCAGTCAACATCTTTGGTTTCAACTTAAAAAGTTTAAACAAATTGTAAAATCACATGTAAATTCAATGAAATACATAATTTTATAAAGCAAAATGTTTGGGCTCAATTTTTATTTATAGCCTAAGAGCTAAACCCAAAATGGAAATGGTTAAGGTAATTAAGGACTATTCACGCAAAGAAATGCAATCATCCATTAAAAATTTTTATTTTGCGAAAGTTAGAAAAATCAGAACTAAAGACAGAATATTTCTAAATGTGTTCCTGTAAATGGATCTCAGGAAAGTAAAAGTATTTTTATGCTGAGAAATATTCGTGGAAAATTTTTTAAGTGTTATCAATGTTAATACTGGCTGGTGCTGATTACCTTCTTTATTATGTTTTCCACATTTAATCACAAGAAAACATTTAAAACAGAAAAAAGAGCACTTTTCAGACACATGCAGTAAGGAAGGTCCTTCTCTGGGTTCTCATATTGCCCTGGACAATGCACTACCCAGTGTGAATAGCACCTGTCTGTCTACTTCCCAGGAAAAGACTATAAGCTCGCTGAGAGCAAGAGCTATCTATGTTTTAAACATCTGTGTATGTGACTAGCATTTGCACTTGTTTCAGTAAATGTGTGGTATAAATGGGGGTTGGGAGGGAGAGATAATAAATGTGACCATTTTAACCATTTTACATCCAAAACACTCGTTGATTTTTAAAAGAAAATTTTAAATAAAACATACCTCACTTATAACTAAAAAACACTTCTTTGGATGAACTTAAGTTTATCATTAACCCAAATACAACAAAAAATGCTATTTTCAAATATTATAAGATGAAACAAGTACAAAACCAAGATATACAAGCACCAAATTAAAGAACAGATTAAAATCATTAATTAGCCCTGGCTGGTTTGGCTCAGTGGATAGAGCATAGGCCTGTGGCCTGAACGATCCCGGGTTTGATTCCGGTCAGGGGCACATGCCGGGGTTGTGGGCTCGACCCCTGGTGGGGGGCGTGCAGGAGGCAGCCTGTCAATGGTTCTCTCTCATCATTGATGTTTCTCTCTCTCTCTCCCTCTACCTTCCTCTCTGAAATCAAGAAAAAAAAATCATCAACTATACTTTATTATCTTTATCAACAACTTACTTTTGAAGTATTCTGGTGAGGAGAATCACAAAGGCTTTCACGGGCACTTTCATTCCTATAATTATGTTTTCTTGGGCTCTTAGGTCGTGCTCGACTTGGCATATCACTTTCTGAGGGTCCAGATGCATCCATCTTTATAGGAAAAGGAAAATAAGTTTTGTCATATGTTTCAACACATATGTAGTGTTGAAAACTAGAAATAACCCCATTGTCCAAATATTGACAAATTTAATTATACACTATCAAATCACTCATCTCTTAATATCACCACTAATTTCATCAGAAAGGTCCTTAGTTATGGGGAAAGTTTTCAATGAAAGCTCAAATTTTTTATCAGTAACAAACAGCTATTTACTTTGAAGTAACAGGTTCAGTTCTTTCATTTTCAAGACAATATCTGCCAAACACCCAACCATACTTTCTCAGTTGCTCCTTCAAATAAAAATGGTATTCCATGAAAAAAAAAAGCCAGTTTTATTTCTCAATTTAAAAAATCCCACAATTACTTTTCTTTCAAGACAAACATTACTCTTTAGTAAGTTGAACTGCCTTATTGGTACTCTCCATTTCATTGTATATGACATTAAAAAGACTCATATAAAAGGACAAAATCTAATAATAATAATTTTACTGCTTCATCAAGAACAGTCGTAAGAGAAACTAGCATATTTTTCTATGCCTTTGAGAAATAATACAATGACTTCTAAAACATTTTGGAAACACTGCCTTGATTCGTGCTCAGGTGCCAACATTTTACTCATCAATTGTTTTTTTCACCGTAAGTGCAAATGTCAACACAGTGAAAAAGGCAAGTAATGTGTTAGTGCTATTATAAAATAGTTTTGAACTCACAGACCCCCTGAAAGATTCTCATTGACTCTCAGGGGTCTGAAGACCATACTTTGAGTACTGCTGTTAATAACATGTAAAGAATGTTCATTGCAGTACTATACAAAATGCCAAAACCCTTTCAACAAAAAGTATATGCCCATCAACAGAAAAATACCATAATAAGTAATTGTACCTCTTCCTGTGGAACATTATGATGCCATTAGAAAAACTAGATTAGCGCTATGCCTGTTAACTTACAGGGATTTCAATAGGTATATTGTGCAATGAGAAAAGAATGAGGGTGTATAGTGCAATGCCATAGTTAACGTACAAGTATACACCTTTATGTATGCATAGAATTCTATAAGCACAATTAAAAAAAAGAAAATATACATACTGGGTTTCTAACATGTTCTGTTCCAACTTATCTGAACAGAACCAAAAGAGAAGGACACCTAACAAATAAAATAAAAACAAAGAGGCACATACATTATAATTGTACTTATCAAGTAAAATCATAAGGGTAGGGATATACACAAAGTGAAATTAAATTTTTAAAAAAACACATAAAGATTGCCTTTTATACTCACATGTGCATCTGAAGATCCAGATGAATGAACATCTGATGATCTTGTCTGCAAGTATGAAAAGTAAGTCAATATTAAATGATCAGAAAATGTCTTACTATACTAACAAAACAAGTGTTTCTCATACTCAATTTTTCAGACTTAATTTTTCCAAACTTGTAGCAATTTCTTCTCAACTAATAAAACCAAAGGGCAATCTCTAACATGAAAAAGTTGTGATCCAAAATAAATGCGCAAGTCCATTCTTTAAAATTCAGAATGTGTACTGCCCATAATATGATACAAATGATACATCACGGCTGTAACACTGACCTAGCAGCAACTTACTACACAGCAAAAAAACCCTCTCCTCCTTTCTCCAACCACCCAAAAGTCATATAGCAGAGTCTAATAGCAAGAAAATACACATTAAACTCTTGATATATAGCAAAAGGTACAAATTCTGCAGAAAAAATTTCAAGAAAAACAAAATCCTATTATGAAATCCCCACTGGGCCTCCATTTGCAACTTTTTAAAATTCTTTATTGATTGACTGATGGAAGAGAGAGAGAGAGAGAGAGAGAGAGAGAGAGAGAGAGAGAGAGAGAAAGAGATAGAGAGAGAGAGATCTTTGTTATTCCACTCCTTTATGCATTCACTAGTTATTTCTTGTATGTGCTCTGACCGGGGATCGAACCCACAATCTTGGCATATAGGGATGATGCTCTAACCAACTAAGTACCTGGCCAGGGCCCTGCAACTTGTTTTAAGGGGGCTGCTTCAACTTTGGCATGCCACTGTTGCTGACTATTGCACAAGTAGTCTTTAAGTCATGGCACATGCCAACAATGTCAACTCTCAAAATTTTATCTTTTTCCCCCTTAATCTATTGTTTACATACAGCAGACATTTTATTGGTTTTGTACTACTAAAGACAAAGAAGCCAAGCTGCAAGACTAAATAAAATTCATGTGGATCCACACAGTACTACTTTATTTATCTTGTCTAAACATAAGGCTAAGAATAGCAGGTCATATTTTCATACTGAATCAGTTTATCCCTCTGAACTCTACTTTACTGGGTCCTAGTCAAATTCAGCCCAAAACAACCAAGCATGGAGATACTTCCTACCTCTTTTTCTTTCTTTTCTTTTTTTAAAAATATATTTTATTGGTTTTGCAGAGAGGAAGGGAGTGGGATAAGGAGTTAGAAACACCGATGAGAGAGAAACATCGATCAACTGCCTCCTGCACAACCCCCTACTGGGGATGTGCCCACAACCAAGGTACATGCCCTTGACCGGAATCGAACCTGGGACCCTTCAGTCTACAGGCCGATGCTCTATCCACTGAGCCAAACCGGTTAGGGCTACCTCTGTTCTTTCTATCCATTGTTTTTCTTTTCCCAACTTTTATTGTGATCCACATTTACTTTCTTCTCCCAGCTAACCTTTCTTAAACGGCAAGATGGTATGGAAGAAGAAATTTTTTTATATTTAAATTAACTCTGCAAAACACACCTTCAAAAACAATTTGAAATGTGCCCATTTGCAGACAGTGAGAAAATCCAAGAAAATAAATTAATTCCTCTTAGAAAAGAAAAATGTTCAGTCAAAAGACTGAATGGTCTGGAAAAAAAAATCAACTGCCTTCCAATATAGCCGTATTTATTAATCTGCTAAGTAATAAAAATAATATCCTAATCATAATAGTAACAAAAATATAAAACACCTAGAAACCAACTAAAGAAAATGTATACAGCCTGTGTGAAAACACAAACTTTACAGAAGGACTCAGTCATTCAAGTCAGCTTTTGAAAAGACTCATCCAATTCTTGCATGAGAAAACTCATTAAGAAAATGCCCAATATACCCAAATGTATTCACATTTCTAATACAATTTCATTCAACAGCTCAAAATCCCAAAGGGAAATCTTCGCAAGGGGGCAAAGGGGATTGCCAAAAATAATTTTAAAGTTCCCCCAACTTCCCATCTTAGTCTTCCTGCTGCTGCCCTCCAGACTACTGTTCTGTGCCACCTTGTACTCTACGAGACAAGATGGCTGCGGAATAGGCAGACGTGTCCCAAGGCTTGTCCCGGAGCAAACAGAATGAGCAGCTGAAACGAATAATATCCACCACGAATTGACGAAGCAGACTCAGCTGGTGAGATAGTTTGCAGGCAGGAAAGGCAGAGTTCCCCTGGAAAGGTAAAAACCAGAGTTCTGGGCAGGAAAGTCTTCCCGATCTCTGAGCCCAGGGGGTCAAAGGGAAACTGCGTGGCACCCAGCCGCATCCCTTGGGACAGGCACAGCCTCTGAAGGAGGAAAGGAGATCCGCAGGACTATTGGCACGGGGGGATTTGAGATCTGGGTGCCATAATTACAAAAGACTGAGCCCAGAGGGGGCACCCTGAAGCGCTGACCAGACCATGCAGTGCTGGTAAGAGAGGAGCTCCCAGAGACTCAGTCTTCCCCGTTTCTGCTGCCGGCGTTTGTTTATTTTCACTGAACCCAGTTCATAGGACATTTTGGATACAGACACCCGTGTTGAGGAGTGGGAGAAGGTGCAGACAAGTAGAATCTGGGGAGAGGCTGGGGAGAGAAGGTGGTCCAGGAGAGGTGGCAGCAAGTTGAGTGCTGAGTCACGCCCAAGCCCAGGACCTGGGCAGCCATTTTCTCCTAAAGTTAACCCCTCCCTCCAGCCCCCAGGCAAGGAATACTGCCACACCCAGATTCCACCCTGAATGAGATGAAGGATTAAAATAATCTGATTAGTCCCTGGGAGTTAACAGGGTCTGGCCTTCAGTCCCAGAAACAGAATAAAAAAAAAATCACAGACATTCCAGAAAACTAGGATCTTAAGTCAGCCAAAGGATCGACATTTCAATTTCCCATTTTTATTTTTTTATTATTATTTTGTTAGCTTTTCTTTTTGCTTTTTTTTGTTTTCCTTTTTTTGTTGCTTGTTTCTCTGCTTTCCTTTTTGTTGCTTTATTTTCTACTTCTTTTCAAATTATTTTTTCATCATTCAATTTTATTTTATTTTTACTTGCTATTTTCTATTTTTATACCATTTTAAAATCAATTTTTTTGTAAATATATTATTTTTTCCCCTTCTTTCTCTGCTTATCCATTCATCCTTTCCTACTTCCTCTATACTGAATTGAGGTCCTCCATATTTATCCAATTCTTAACCTTATTTCCTGTATATCAGCTCAGCCTCTACAGATTCTGCCCCCACCCTCTTTACTGAGTGTTTGGTGTTTGTATATCTTTGGTTTATCTATTGGCTCTGTGGTGTTTTCTCCATAAATATATATCCTCCTTTTTCTTTTCTCTCCCATCTTTTTTTCTCTCTCTTAGATATAATTTGTGCTCTCTTTTCTCTCCCCTAATTATCTTTTCTCAGGTGGTTGCTTATGCAGTGGGGCCTTGACTTACGAGTGTCCTGACTAAAGAGTTTTTCGAGATATGAGCCGTCTCTGGGCCGAATTTTTTGCTTTGAGTTGCAAGCTCAAATTCGGGTTACCAGCCAGCTTCAGATACCCCACTGCTAGTTGGCACAGCGAACGTCAAAGTGAACGCCACAACATCAGCCCAGCATCACGTGTCTCACTCATTCACTTTATGATTTGACATATGAGTAATTTGAGTTACGAGCTCCGTCACAGAACGAATTAAACTCGTAAGTCAAGGCCCCACTGTATTGGGGTTATCGGTGCAGTGAGTACATTCATGCTTTGTTCCCATTGGGTCATGTCTTGTTAAGGTTAATATTTTTGGATTAGTGTTCTACATTCTATTTTCTTCTTTCCTTTAGCATCCTTTTACTCTACCTCAACTTTACCTTTATGCCAAAACTTTCTTCCTCACTTTTCCCCTTCTGTTGTCCTGTTTCTCTTACCCTATCCCTGATTTAGATTTTCCCTATTCCTTATTTTTTACCTCCTGTTAAAATTTCACCCTACTTATATATCGAATTACCAATCTCCTGCTCTAAATCCATATACACCTCTCTCTTCTCTTTCTTCACTATCCAAAGTTTTTTTTTCTCTCCATTGTTTTCTTGTTGTTTGCTTGATTGCTGAGTATATTGGGGTTTTTTTATGCTTGTTTGTGAGATTGTTTTGCTTTTTCTTTATTTCTAATGGATTTTTTTTTTCCCTGGTTAATTTTATGCCTCTGTTTTCCCTCACCTTGCTTGATATTAGTTGTTGTTTGTAGTTTGCATTCATCTCCATGGATCTGTTGCTGGAATTAGTTGGGATTAGTGGCTGATCTACTGGAGTCTTCTCCCCATATAAATAGTTTCTTCCCCTCTTCTATTTCATTATCTTTCTTTTATCTCTTACTTTTTTTTCCTTTTCCCAATTTCATTTCTGCACTCCTTTTTTTCTTTTTCTCTTTTTTCTTTTTCTATTTATCCCCTAATAATCTTTGATATGGTGGTCACCTTTATTTGGGGATATTAGTATCGTGAATACATTTGTGTTCAGTGCCTTGTGCGTTGTGCCTTGTTGTGTTGTATTTTGTGCCTTTAAATCAACGCAGCAGAGAGAGAGCTACATAACCAAACACCTAGAGAAGAGAGATCATGGGAGACAAAGAAACAGCCCGCATATGAAAGAAAAACAGCCATCACCAGAAAAGGAAGTAAACAAAATGGAGACAATGAAGGCAAGCAAACTGTCAGAGAAAGAATTCAGAGAAATGGTCATAAGGTGGATGAAAAGAATGGAAGGCAAATTCAACAATATGTGTAAGAACCAAGAGGAAATGAAGAAGAGCCAAGAAGAAATGAAATATGGCATCACTGCTATAAAGAACTCAATAGAAATCATCAACAGTAGACTAGAAGAAGCAGAGGACCGCATCAGTGAGCTAGAAGACAAGGTAGGAAAAAATACCCAAGCAGAGTAACTTCTAGAAAAAAAAAATTAAAAAGCAAGAGGAGAACCTAAGAGAACTTTGGGACACGAAACAAAACAACATCCGCATAATAGGGGTGCCAGAAGAAGAGGAAACTGAGCAAGGAATGGAAAACCTGTTTGAAAAAATAATGACAGAAAAGTTCCCTGATATATGGAAGAAAAAACTCACATAAATCCAAGAAGCTCACAGAGACCCAAACAAGATGAACCCCAAAAGACCGACGCCAAGGCACATTATAATTAAATTGGCAAACACCAACGACAAAGCAAGAATCTTAAAAATGGCCAGAGAGACAGAAAGTTACTTACAAAGGATCCCCCATCAGACTAGCAATGGGTTTCTCAACAGAAACACATCAGGCAAGAAGGGAATGGAATTAAATATACAAAGTCATGCAAAGGAAGGGTCTGAATCCAAGAATACTGTTCCCAGCAAGGCTATCAATCAAAATTGAGGGTGAAATCAAGAGCTTCACAGACAAAAAAGGACTACAGGAGTTTATTACCACCAAACCAGCAATGTAAGAAATGCTAAACGGTCTGCTGTAAAAATAATAAGAAACAAAGAAGGAACACAGGGGTAAAGAATAAAAATGGCGACAAACAAGTATCTATCAATAATAACTTTAAGTGTAAATGGATTAAATGCCCCAATCAAAAGACAGCCTAACTGAGGGCATAAGAAAACACGACCCATACATCTGCTGTCTAGAGGAAACCCACCTCAGAAAAAAAGACGCACACAGACTGATGGTGAAGGGATGGAAAAAGGTTTTTCAGGCGATTGGAAACGAAAAAAAAGCTGGGGTAGCAATACTTATATCTGACAAATTAGATCTCAAAGTGAAGGACATAAAAAGAGATAAGGAAGGCCACTTCATAATACTAAAAGGAGCAATCCAACAAGAAGAAATAACTCTGGTAAACATATACGCACCCAATATAGGAGCACCCAAGTATATAAGAAAACTTCTGGAGGAGATCAAGGGAGAGATTGACAGCAATACAATCATAGTAGGGGACTGTAACACCCCACTAGTACCATTGGACAAATCCTCTAAAAAAAAAAAATCAGCAAAGAAACATCAATCCTAAATGACTCACTAGATCAGATGGAATTAATTGACATCTTCAGAACATTTCCCCCCATGGCCACAGAATATACATTATTCTCAAGTGCACATGGGTCATTTTCAAAGATAGACCATATATTGGGTCACAGACAAAGTCTCTTCAAATTCAAGAAGATAGAAATCATACCAAGCATCTTCTCACATCACAATGGCATAAAACTGCAAATCAACTACAATAAAAACAATCCAAAAAAATCAACCACATGGAGACTAAATAGCATGCTATTAAACAATGACTGGGTTACCAGAGAGATCAAAGAAGAAATAAAAAACATCATGTCAACAAACGGCAATGAAAACACAACAATCAAAAACCTATGGGACACAGCGAAAGCAGTCTTGAGAGGGAAGTTCATAGCTCTACAATACAAAAACAATACAAAAGATCAACAAAACCAAGAGCTGGTTCTTTGAAAGGATAAACAAGATTGATGAACCTCAAGCCAGGCGCACTAAGAAACAAAGAAAAAGGACCCAAATAAACAAAATCAGAAATGAAAAAGGAGAAATAACAACAGACCCCACAGAAATATAAAGGGTTGTTAAAAAATACTATGAACAACTCTACTCCATAAATTAGACAACCTGGAAGAAATGGACATATTCCTAGAAAAATGCGACCTTCCAAAACTTAATCAGGAAGAATCTAAAAACCTCAATAGACCACTAACTATGGAAAAAACTGAAGCCGTAATCAAAAAGCTTCCAGCAAACAAAAGCCTGGGACCAGACAGCTTCACAGGGGAGTTTTACCAAACATTCAAGGAAGAATTAAAACCTATCCTCCTCAGACTATTCCAAAAAATTCAAGAAGAAGGAACACTTCCGAGCTCATTTTATGAAGCCAGCATCACCATAATACCAAAACCAGATAAAGACAACACAATGAAAGAGAATTACAGGCCAATAACCCTCATGAACATAAATGCCAAAATCCTCAACAAAATTCTAGCAAATCAGATCCAACAGTACATCAGAAAGATCATTCACCATGACCAAGTAGGTTTTATCCCAGGGATGTAAGGATGGTACAACATCCGCAAATCAATAAATGTGATACATCGCATGGTCATATCAATT